CTTCTTTAAGCAGTGGTAGGGGGAAAGCAGTCCGTACGCAGGCAGCAGTACCCTCCACCCCTTTCTCACTCAGACAACGCCTGTCGCTCTTATGCAAGAGCGCGCATATGCACGCACGCATTATGCTGCATATTTTACGGGTTGAGGCGAATCAGAAACATAAATCCAATTGGTATCCGATGCCGTTTGAGAAACGGCGGCACCGTTAGCTGGAAATAATGAGACCCTAAACCCCAATTCATAGGAAAGAAATCATTTCGTATTATGAATAAACAAAAAACGGTGACAGATCATGCCGCACATCATTTCAATTTGTTTAATCTGCACCGCCCACCACCCTACCCCCTTTTCATAGGATACACGTTTCATGCGAAAGCTGAGAGCGGGGATGGAATGGAGTGCAACGGTGGGGAGAGCAAGGGAGGAAGTTCTAGTTTACGTTACGTTTACGTTACGATTTCTGTTTTATATGTATAGCTATGTACTAGTACACAGACACACACACACACACACACACAAACAACACGCGCGCGAATCGTAAGCAGCTGAGCTCTTCTTTTGCTCTTTAGCCTTTGGCCATTTTTTTTTCGTCAGTTGAGGGGAGGAGGGGAACACGCAGGCGCCTGCGTCTGCGTCGAACGGTACCTGAAAGCAGCAGCAGTGCTGTCGTTTCATCTATCCCCCCCCCCCCCCACCAACCCATTTCCTCTAATCATCACCTCTTGAAGTCTAGCAGTCTATGTTGAGGGGGGGGCAAAGGCACGTAACGGACTAAAAACCAGTTTTTGGCTAATTGGTCCAATAAGTTAATTAGCTGTCAAACGAAATTGAATTGACAGGGAATTTGATTGGGAGGGGAATGAATGGAAAACAATCTGTGGAATATTCCAGTTCGTTCTTCGCCGTCTCCTGGCTTCCAATGACATTTTCACAGGGACAACCGTCTCACATTTAAACAAACAAAAATTGAGTCCTTGACCAGGGGAAAATTGCGTATGCAATTGAATATAGTACATACAAACTCAATAACCATCGCCGTTTACAGTTTGAAAAATTTTTTTTGGGCAGCGGATGTGTAACAGATTTAAAACTTGATTAGATGGTGGTCTCCCCTTCTATAACCGCTTACCCGACAAACGCAAACTCGCACATTCGAATAAATCAGCTGCAGAAAACAATTGCACACGCACATAGGTATGCATGTACATACATATGTACACATGTCAAGCACAGACACCGAGCACACACGTGGTAGTGAAATGTGACGGTTTTTTGTTTTATCCATTTACCGGATTTATTTCACTTTTTCAATGGTTGTCATGCCTCATGCCTCATTCCCAACGCCAACCCCCCCTCCACATCATCACTTCATCCTACCTAACGGTTTTTTGTGTGAGATTTACGTCGCAGCTGATTTTTTTTTCTCATTTCTTTCGCATCTTTTACGTACATTTTTTCTTCTAAACGCTTGTTTTGCTCTCTCGCTCTCACAATTGCGAACAGTTATTTTCGAGTGCAATGCTGGGGCCTGGCTGGGGTCCCATGTGTTTCGGGGCGCGCGACCGAAAGAGCGGCATGCATGTACATTTGTATTGGTGTGCGCAAGCTCGCTCAAACGCGGAGGCATAAAATAAGAGAACAGAAAAAGCAACGGCATCCCGCCACACACACACACACACATTTGAACACATATGTACCTACATATGTACTAGACTATTTGTATGAAAATTGAAATTGAAAATATGATTCTATTTTAGAATAATCAATCCTTATACTCTCTATTCAAACGCTTTACCACCTCACCACTGTTTCTGAGAGGGGGAACCCCTCCAAATGTAACTGTACAAATACCAGACAAGTTGTCGCCGTCCTTCTCCACCGCTCTCTTCTTGACAATAACTAGACCAGGGAAAAAGAACATTTGGTTGCTCCTTGAAGGCCCCTCCCGCAGTGGATGCAAGGAGCCTATGGACAAGACAGAGGAAGGGATGGAGAGGGTGTTACTAGCGTGTTGTCCTTGAACGCAAAATTTCCACTTGACTACCGCCCAGGTGGTCGTGGTCAGAAGACACACGCGACACAAGCGCACACACACCGAAACACACTGTATATAGCAGAACACAGACTAAAACGGGGAGCCAGCCGGAGGAGGAGAAGTACGCAAAGAAGGTCCTTGAAATGCCTAAACAGCAGCCATATCTGAACAAGATATAGCCAGACAGAAAGCCATGCGTTTACTGTCTTAAACTATTCGCCAATTATTCTTCATCTGGCGGTACCTTTTATGTATATTTCACACGTTTTTTCCTCTGCTCGTTACGATTTTATATACTTTTCGTCGCGTACACGAACGCACACACACAAACTAGAGGTGTCAAACCATCGAGGGCACTAACGATAGTATCGATATTTTACTGCTAGCCTCTACTATCGACGGTTTTGCGACTATCATGATAATATCGAGCTACAGTCGTTGCGCTTTTGATATGTTTGGATTGGCTGCTATAAAATACGAAGACACATTTGACAGGTGGCATCTAATTTTTACAATGGACAAGTTCCTAAAAGGTTTCAATGGTTCTCTAATAATTATTTGAGCCCGATAATATAACGATAGTATCGATTGATTTTTTCAAAACATTCAAAGTTGATATTCCTCGATTTTGATATTCCGTTTAATATTACTAGCTAGCTGAAACTCTCAGCCCTAAACAAATAATTTTATCCGATAGATACATAAATTTTCTACAAGATTGGCAAGTTTTCAGAAGTCCTTTTTATTGGATTATTTACATATTAAGGTTCAAACAAAAACAACATAAAACGAATGTGACGTCGTTTCGTGGCGTTGCCAGACTCGTGCAATTCGTAGTTGCTGCGGGCTGCCATACCATGATATTTTGTTATATGAAATTCGTCAATTTTGATATTCAGTTTAATATTACTAGATAGTCGGCCCTCTCAGCTCTAAAAACACCTTGAGCACGTCTGACGCGCAGACATATACAGAAAATTACCTTCTCATTTGCAACATATACCGCAAACATACCTTGAATTCAAAATATCTATAGTGCCATCCGGCTATCGACTGCCTGCTGCAGTCATAATTCATGTAGAATTCATGTAAAAACCACGTAGAAATGCCATCAATACATATTGTAAAATCACATCCCTAACTGGTTGCACGTTGCTCATATTTTATTATTCAGCAATATTTTAAGTGAGATTTTATTTTCTATAAACATGTCAACTGTGGGCGCTGCGAATAGTGCCGCCAGCGTGGACGAGGCGCGTCCGGAGGCAATATTTCGCGAAATCAATGCCGATCAGACGGAGGATGTTGTCGAGATTGAGTCGGTCTGCATCAGTTGCTTCCAGAATGGCATCACCCGTGTGCTGCCCACCAAAATTCCCTTCTTTCGCGAGGTGGTGATCATGTCCTTTAAGTGCGACAGTTGCGGCTACTCGAACAATGAAATGCAGTCGGCATCCGAGATCCAAAAGTCTGGCATTCGCATCGAGCTGGAGGCGAAGACGGCAGCCGATCTTAATCGGCGGGTGGTGCGCTCGGACAACTCCAGCATCAACATACCCGAGGTGGAGCTGGAGATACCAGTGCAATCGCAGAAGGGCGAGGTGACCACGGTGGAGGGTATCATCGAACGCACCATTGCCGGACTGTCGCAGGACCAGGAGAAGCGCCGCATCGACCATCCGACCGAGGCGGCATCCATTGATGTCTACATTGATCGACTGAAGCAGCTCAAGGAAATGAAGAAACCCTTCCGCCTCCTGCTCGAGGACATTTCCGGTAACAGCTTCATTGAGAATACTGTGGCGCCCGCCACAGATCCACAGCTAAAGACAGCGTTCTTCACTCGCTCCAAGCAGCAAAACGAACAACTGGGTAAGTGGATTAATTGATTGTCAGTCGCCATGGATAACGATAACTCCATATCCCCCAACCAGGTCTTTACGACCAGAACCACGACGATCATCTGCTGCAGCCCATCGCCGAGGACGAGTGGCCCATCGAGAATCTGCAGGGCGAGGTTCTGCAGTTCGCCACCAACTGTCCCAACTGTCAGGCGCCGTGCGAGACGAACATGAAGCTAACGGAGATACCGCACTTTAAGGAGGTGGTCATCATGGCCACGGTGTGCGGCAGCTGCGGCCACAAGACCAACGAGGTGAAGTCGGGCGGCGGTGTCGAGAAACAGGGCGTGCGCTTCAAGGTGAGCATTGCCTCCAAGGACGATCTGTCCCGAGATGTGCTCAAGTCCGAGACGTGCAGTCTTTCGATACCCGAACTTGATCTGGAGGTGGGGCCCCATGCCCTCTGTGGACGTTTCACCACCATTGAGGGTCTGCTGGTGGCCATGCGCGACCAGTTGGACGGCACCTTCTTCCATGACTCCGCCGATGAGAAAACCAAATCAAAAATGGATACATTCCTGGAAACATTCGATGCGGTCATGAAACTGGAAAAAGTCCTCACTCTGGTGCTGGAGGATCCCGCTGGCAATACCTATGTACAATCGCTGAGCGATGACGATACAGAGGCGGACGACAAGCTGATTGTGGAGAGATATGATCGCTCCTTTGACGACAACGAGCAGTTGGGTCTGAACGACATGAAGACCGAAAACTATGAGCAGGATGCGTGATAACCGTTGCTCTACTCTTACACTAGGAACTTATCTTAAATCAAAAAGAAAAATACAAATTAATATTCAAGGCCACTGCAGTCGCCCCTTTAAAAAGTATATTTAAAAAAGAAAAGAATTTTTATTTCGATCCTAAAAAAATATCGATATTGGCCCTGTATGTAAAAATTCCATATGCGAGCATTGCGGGCCACCCTTTCGAATAACAATTCGTGATCTACTTTAAAATCAGCTTCGTTTGGGACAATAAAGCGCATTTATTTGTTAATAAAAGAGCACAAAAAGGCATTTTTAAATTTGGAACAACGCAATAATACGTGTAGTTGACATGGCATGTAAACTACACAGCTGCTGTGTATATCGATATATCAATATATATTAAACATCATCCCCACCAGCAGCTGCTTGTCTCTTGTTGTGTAACTGAAACGGCAATTTTTGGTAAATAATTGCAAAATATCCCTTGAAAACCCACCAAAACAATATACTTTAACAGAGCACCGAAGATGTCTGCAACCGCCGCCCGTGGCACAACGTCGCTGCTGAAGCGCGCCTGGAACGAGATACCCGACATTGTCGCCGGCTCTGCCATGGCCATTTGTGGCATCGTGATGGCAGGAATCGGAGTGGCCAACTATTATGCCAAGGACGGCGACAATCGCCGCTACAAACTGGGCTATGTCGTCTTCCGTCACGACGATCCCCGTGCCCAGAAGGTGCGCAACGATGAGGATGATTAAAGAAAGCCAACAACAACAAACTAGCAAAAAATGTCATTCTCATTGCACCACTTTTTTTTTTTGCTTCATGCTATAGCTAAGTAAAACAAAAACATAAACGTACACACAATGGAATGGCGTTGGATTATGGGCTGTACTGTACGTCATGCACGAATCTGCAATGGAATCTGCAGGCCTTTGCCGTGTGGAACCGCGCCTCGCAGAGAGCGCACTTGTAGTTCCCTTCCTCTGTCGGCGGCTCGGCCACTGGCCCTGTCGGCAACATATACGCCATATCTGGGGAAGATGCTGAAACGAGAGAGGACGAGGATTAATTCATTTCGATAAGTTCAGTGTGTGCGCCAGTAGCCTACCTGTTCCAGGCTCTATTTTGAATATCACTGTGTTGGTGGGGGTATCATCAGTCTGATGGGCATCCTCGATAGCCTCGACACTGGGGTACAGCGTGTACTCTATTTTGGCTTTCGCCTGCGTCTTTGAGGCCAGGCTGCGCTTTCGTCTCTGCTCGAATTTCAGTGCCACATTGAATTCTGCGTGGGCTGTTACCCAGGTGTTGTGAAACTCGTAGGCGAGGCTCACTTTCTTTACGCAAATGCGACAGATCTGCTTGGGATAGTCATCGTCCTCCTCTAAAGATGTCAGCGACGCGGGCAAACAGGCCGTAAGGATATCCAGTAGCGTCACTTTCTTACCACGTACCATGACCACATCCTCGAAGATGTTATGGGACTCCACGCACTCGCTGCCGCAAGTTCGACAGCAGCTTTCGAATATTTCCATTGCGCTTTCTTACCAATCAAAACTTTTCTCTTAGATAAACCTATTTCTGCCTTTTGTATACAGAGAACTATTCAAATACGCGAGTCCATGGAAGCCTGGCGCTGTATCGGGGGTATTCCAGTAAATGTTGCATCCCTGATACGGTTCGGTCTGTTATGAAACTCGCAAAAGTTTATAAACATTTTTAAAGATTAAACAGAAATTAGAAGAAAAAGCGTTATTTATAAGATATTTGTCGAGTTCCTGACAGTTCCATACTGTGTGTAACAATATAGATCTCTTTTACGAAACCCTAATATGGGATTACTAAGTGAAATATCGGATCAAAAATGAATTTCCGTATCGTTGTAAGTCGGTCCATTGCAAGGGTTTTACTACATTCAAAGATAATGAATGAAAATATATTGTGTGAATTGCACGATTCCACACACTCAAGAGTACCCTTGCTGCGCTCAAAAACACAGCGCGCAGTGAGAAACGCACTAACGCGTAGCCTCCATCGTCGCGGCCATTTATAGTGGTTCTTTTTTTTTTGTGTCACAAAAGCCGGTCCGGGAGAAAAAAGGGTCTTAAATATGTGGAAATTGGTACTAATCGCCCTGCTGGGCATTTCTAATTGCAATGCAGTTTTGCAGACGGATGCCAATACGCTTGTGCTGCTCGACAATCTGGCCATACGCGAGACTCACTCGATTTTCTTCAAAACGCTGCAGGGTAAGAGACACCGCGCCCGGCTTCTGGCCCTAACCTATGACGTGTACAAATTTTGATTGGGGAAAAACGAATTTCATTGCAGATCGCGGGTTTAAGCTAACCTACAAGCTAGCGGACGACTCTAGCCTGCTGCTGTCGCGCTATGGCGAGTATCTCTTCAAGAATGTGATCATCTTTGCGCCCAGTGTGGAGGAGTTTGGCGGCGACATCAATGTGGAGCGTTTGGCCAAGTTTGTGGACGACGGTGGCAATGTTCTGGTGGCTGGCAGTGAAAAATCTGGTGACGCCCTGCGGGAGTTTGCCTCGGAGTGCGGCTTCGAGCTGGACGAGGAGAACGCTGCGGTCATCGATCATCTAAACTACGACGTCAGCGATGCTGGCGAACACACAACCATCCTGACATCGGCCAAGAACCTGATCCAGGCCGATACCATTGTTGGCAAGGAGAACAGCAAGGCCGACTCGGCACCACTGCTGTACCGAGGTACGGGCCTGATTGCCGACAAGGAGAACCCACTGGTCCTAAAGCTCCTCACCGCCGAGAGCAGCGCGTACAGCTACAATCCTCAGTCCAGTGTCACCGATTATCCGCATGCTGTGGGACGCGGCACTCTGCTGATTGCCGCTCTCCAGGCGCGCAACAATGCCCGTGTCGTCTTCTCCGGCTCCCTGCTCTTCTTTTCGGACGAGAGCTTCACCACGGCCGTCCAGTATGCCCAGAGCGGTGTGTTCCACAAGCTCTCCGGCAATCGAGTCGTCGCTGAGTCCATCAGCCAGTGGGTCTTTGGCGAGACCGGCCGCCTGCGCGTTGCCTCTGTGCAGCACCACAAGGAGGGCGAGCTGCAGCCCCCAGTGGAGGCGTACACCATCACCGATCCCGTGATCTATACCATTGCCATTGAGGAGCTGGTCGCTGGGAAGTGGCAGGCGTACAAGGCCAGTGACATCCAGCTGGAGTTTGTGCGCATCGATCCGTTCGTGAGGACCTTCCTGAAGCAGACCAAGACGGGCAGCTACGAGGCCAGGTTCAAGATACCCGATGTCTACGGCGTTTACCAGTTCAAGGTGGACTACAATCGTGTCGGCTACACCCATCTGTATAGCACCACCCAGGTGTCGGTGCGTCCGCTAGAGCACACGCAGTACGAGCGCTTCATTCCCAGCGCCTTCCCGTACTACACGAGCGCCTTCTCCATGATGATTGGCGTCTTTATCTTTTCGTTTGTGTTCCTTCACTTCAAGGATGAGCCCCTCGGCAAACCGCTCAGGGAGGACAAGAAGTCGCAATAGAATATTTAATACTTTAAACAAGCATTCTTGCAATTGTGAATGCAATGCAATCAAAAATAAAATCATTTTACACTGATTTCCACCACTAAACCCTCTCCCCCTGTTTTATGCGTCTCTTCTGCTTCCTGTCGTTGGGAGTCTGGGCAAACGTGCCCTGATACTATCCAACCCGGAACAGTACTTAGTATAAATGCAATCTGCTCTATACTCTTTCCACCTATTGACAAATATTCAAGATGTTTGCATTCCGGTCCGCCACTGGACGAGAAAGAGTGAGAGAGGACGAGGGCTCTGGTCGACGGTGTGGACATTTTTGTTGACCTATTTTATTGAAACCTTACTTTATAGACAATCTCATAACAAAGAGTCAATAAAATAAGCCAGATTGAAGAAAATTGAATCAACTATCTGATAAAATAATATGTTCAGTCGTTTAAGTCCTAAATAGTTTGTAATATTAAATCGAATATCAAAATCGAGGAATACGATTTCAATTAATAAAATGGAACGTTATCCCATTGTCGACCAGGGGGTATTTAATATTCCCACAAAATGTATGTAACTTTAACATATTTTACGCATTACAGGTGAAAGATGTCGGTGGTCATTTTTGTTTTGTAAGTAAAGAGGAAGATGGAGTTACAAGGAGCCTCTACAAACAGTATTATTTACCGCGGTTTAACAAAGGGTGCTCAAATTTTTAAATATAGGGGTGTTAAGTGGGTTAAGTCTCGTTTGATGCCCTGGTTTTTTTATGGCATGGTATTTAAATGGTTTTTCTCGAAACTGAAATGGTATTTAATGGTATTTATTTTTTAGCGACATGGTATTTCTTATCGTTATCGGTCACGTTGCTTGCAATTTTGCATTAGCTTAAACCTTATTTAATAAATAATCTTTAAAATAAGCCAGTTTGTTGAAAATTGATTATCCTAATTGATAAAATGATATGTTTAGTTGTTAAAGTCATAAATAGCTAGTAATATTAAACCGAATATCCAAATCGAGGAATATAAACTTTGAATGTTTTGAAAAAAAACAATCGATACTATCGTGATAGTATCGAGCTTAAATAATTATTAATTATTAATTTTTGTTGTTGTTGATATTTATGGTATGGCAGCCCGCTGCAACTACGAATTGCACGAGTCTGGCAACGCCACAAAACGACGACACATTCGATCTATGTTGTTTTTGTTTGAACCTTAATATGTAAATAATCCAATAAAAAAGACTTCTGAAAACTTGCCAATCCTGAACCAAATTTATGTATCTATCGGATACAGTTATTTGTTTAGGGCTGAGAGTTCCAGCTAGCTAGTAATATTAAACGGAATATCAAAATCGAGAAATATCAACGTTGAATGTTTTGAAAAAACAATCGATACTATCGTGATAGCTCTAATAATTATTAAAAAACCATTGAAACCTTTTAGGAACTTGTCCATTGTTAAAATTATATGACACCTTTCGATTTGTTTACAAATGTGTCTTCGTATTTTATAGCAGCCAATCCAAACATATCAAAAGCGGAACGACTGTAGCTCGATACTATCATGATAGTCTCAAAACCATCGATAGTAGAGGCTAGCAGCAAAATATCGATACTATCGATAGTGCCATCGATGGTTTGACACCTCTAGGAAAAAAGTCTTGATTGTGAAATTTTCGTCGAAGTGTGTGTTCGTGTGTTCTCTGTGAAAAAATCTTGAAATTTATAGATTTCCAGTTTGTTAAACTAATTAAACGGTGAGTGCTCTTTAAAAGTCTATTAAAATATATTTACTCGCTTAAGATTTGCTTGATAGCTGTAGAGGAAATGTTTTTGTTAAAATAATATGCGGTAGATATGTATGGACGACAATTTTGTTTTCGGGGCTCCGGCGGCCGTCTAGCGGAGCCCTGATTTTACATGTCTGCTTAGTTTTTTTTCTGGTTTTCGGGTGCTCCGCTGGCCAAACCAATCGGTGGAGCCCTAAAATGTTCAGTTCTCGTATTCGGGGCTCTGACAGCTGGCGGAGCCCCAAACTTTTGACGTCTGTCTGCATCTGTTTTTATTGTTGGGGTTCCGGTGGACGGCCAGCAGATTTGTAATACCGCTTTACAAATATTTTTTTTTCTTGTACGACGGATACACACACAAATGCACGAAGACGACGTGAGAGGTGACTTCGTTTTGCACGATGGATGCATTGAAGTGGGGTACCGTACCGTTTGTTGTTTCTCGAATTTTCAAAATGGCTGCCAGAGGGAGAGTAGCAACAAAATAGTTTAAGTGATTGTTATAAATATTTGTGTGAGTATGGAAAGTATGGACCATCAAAAAGGGCGCGAGAATATATATTTACATATTTTGGTTGTAAATCAGATAAAATAATTTGTTATTAATTGGTGAGGCGGTTCCTTTTTTTTTTTGGTGTGAATTTCCACACACACACATGCAAGCATTACAATGCATATACGAAATAATGTGTTAAAAAGTGCTACATTTAACAGTTTTGTGAGAATTTTCGAGATCGTTAAAAACAAAAACGGTGCATATTAAAGGTGTACTTAAAGTAGTTTTATATTTTAACAATATCTAAATTTGTATGCGCTGTGCTTTTTGTCTGAACCAACACATACGTACATGCATATGCATACTCATGTGATTGTGTTTTTATTTTTTGTTGAGTGCTGTACGACACACAGATGTTTAAATCTACATTTGTATGTGTGTGCGTAACGAGACGAATTAAATAGTTTTGTGTAATAAAAAAAAGGCGGGCAAAGAAATAAAATAATTTTGTGTGCAAGTGTGTCTTCGTGCCCACATGCATACATATATGTAGATAGATAAGTGCAGTTGCATATTTGTGTGACTAGTCATGCGCACTGGTTTGGTCGATGATGATTTGTGCTTTCAGAAGGCTCTCCACCTCCCCCGGGTTACAGTTATAGTCCCAGTCCCCCCTGCTTGCATCATATTCTCTTTTGTCTGGAGTTTCGTTGGGATGTGCAGCTGTCACACACACACACACACACAGACATACACGGACACGCCACACGAATTCACATGTAGGCTCTGACAAACGACGCAATTTGTTGGCTGGCCTGGCCGCCACAACCACTGGCGCTCTCTGTCTAACGCCAATCGTAGTAGTGCCATCCCTCTTTGTCTTGGCGCGTTTTAATGCGCGCCATCGCAATAATTTATTTTGTTTTGTTTACTTTTTTGGCGCCTCGTACAATTTAACGTTCACTTCACACACACACACACACACGCAGAAACCAAACCTCTTCGCACCCCACCCCGCCGCGCTCTGGAAAGTAATATTTTTCCAGGCCAATTCAGATCGGGAAGAGTAAGACGGTGAAGAATATTGGGTAAAAATAACAGAAATAGAGAGAAATGTAAAACCACGAATCATTACTTCAACTTGATTGATTCCGCATAAAAAAATAAAATAAGTTGAAGAGGCGCGCAACACGACAAAAAAAAAAAAGAAAGGCCCAGCATGGCTCGGGGGAAACGACATACAAAAAAAAAGATGATGGAAAAAAGAGCGAATCATGTTGTGTGTGCTCATGGAAAAAGAAATATATGCACTCGCACAATGGCTCAAGAGGGCGCTGAAGAGGCACTCGAAGCGAAGCTGCTGCCGCCGCCGGGGGCCAGAGCGAGCCATAGCTGCGACTGAGGCGGGCAAGCCCAAGCTCACCAAGACACCAGACGTCGTCCGTCTCCACTCGAGTGGACGTTTCTCAAGTGTTACCCAGAAAGCACCGAATGCCGGCAAATGGAAAATGTAGAGGAACTGAGCAGCAGCAGCTGGCCAAAGATTTCAACCCTCGCTAGGTTTTCCTCTGGGCCACAGCGGCCTCATCTGCCACAGTTGGCTGCCAGCGCTCTGGCGCTGAGCATCGCCCGCTTGGGCATTGCTCCTCCGAAAGTCTAGAAATTGTGTAGAATAGGATCAAAGTCAGTGTTTTAAGTGTAACCGTAGAAATTTAACTCAAATTGAAGAGGATCAAAATCTTTTACTAAAAAGGGAATTCAATTTTGTACGGATTTTGCAGTCTTTGATTCAAATAAAGAAGAAAAATGGCTCGTACCAAGCAGACCGCCCGTAAATCGACTGGAGGCAAGGCTCCACGTAAGCAGCTGGCCACCAAGGCCGCTAGGAAGTCGGCCCCGTCCACCGGTGGCGTCAAGAAGCCCCATCGTTATCGTCCCGGCACTGTTGCCCTTCGTGAGATCCGTCGCTACCAGAAGTCGACTGAGCTGCTCATCCGTAAGCTGCCGTTCCAGCGTCTTGTTCGTGAAATCGCTCAGGATTTCAAGACCGATCTCCGTTTCCAGTCGGCTGCCATTGGTGCCCTTCAGGTGAGTCCCGTCCCGTCCCCAATCCCCCTCTCGCTTAGATGCACGAATGACCTGAACTGAACTAAAACTATCGATCTCTGGTACATCTTACAGGAAGCCTCCGAGGCCTATTTGGTGGGCCTGTTCGAGGACACCAACTTGTGCGCTATTCACGCCAAGCGCGTCACTATTATGCCCAAGGACATTCAGTTGGCGCGCCGCATCCGTGGCGAGCGTGCTTAAGGAGGAGCAGTATGGTCACAGTGTAGTGTAACAATTCCCCGTGCAATGGACGCGCGACCGCTGCGCTGCTACACACAACAACAACAAAAACCAGCAGAAGCAGCAGCAATACAAACATCATGCAAATGGTCGCGCCACATTGATGGGCAAATCAAAAACAAGTTGATCAATCATCCATTCATAAACCTACATGTATACACCTACCATCTTTGTTTTCGAGTTAAGATTAATTTAAGAAGAGGCAGTTTTCTTTAATTTAATCCTTCGAAATGCTGGCAACTTGGGCACCCACACAACACAACGGTTCGTTCGCCCGATTGCCATCGCAAGAGATGGCACCTGAAGATTTAACTTAAACATACATACACATATTGCGCATAACACTTATTATTATTGCTATTATAATTGTACATTAGAACTTAAGTTTTTTTTCTATATATATTTATATATATATACAACATATATATATATATATTGTAAGCCACCGTCGTCGCTGCGCCGCAAACTACATGACTCGCTCGCTCTCTCTCATCCCATTCAAATGGGATCCCAATGTCTCGGAGCATCGCCACCACATCTCCAACTGTCGTGGAGGATGCGCTGTTTGCTGGCAGAACCCATTAACTAATTGCCCTGTGGAGTGGTCCCCGAAAGAAGCTGCTGCATGGGGCATGCCGCACCAATACCATCCAGCGAGTGTGAATGGGGACTGCTGGCAAACAGCAAGAGACCAGGAGGTTGGCTATACCCGGCGAGAGAGTGAGAGTCATGGGAGAGACGGCAAGCGAACGGTTGGTAGGCAAACAACACTTTTAACACCCAACTTAAACAACCAACAACAACATCTGAAAATGGTATCCAACATAACACCGAAGACCGAATTGAGTACACTTATTTCTAAACATATATACATACATATACCACGTAAACAAACAAGCAAACAAAAAAAAACATACATATATCTTGTAGACACTAGATATAAAATAGATCTTGTTTTTTTCGTCCTTTCCTTTACTCGCGGGACCCGAACAACGGTTATTGCTGTTGGAAGATCAAGCAATATTAGTACACCACACACACACATATAAATACCACCCATCCATGTTGTGGTGTTACGGCGAGAGTAGGAAACGAAAGGAATAAAACAAGTGGCCCCCCCCTGGTGGCTCGTTCCGCTCTCTCTCACTGTGTGGGGAGCGGAGACGAAGGTAGTTGATTAAATAAGTTTTAGAATTACATGCATTTTATACGTTTTAGGCGAGAGAGAACGAAGAGAAATAGAACAGAACGCTAGCCACCCCCACGGATCATGTATGGTGAGATGGTGTGATGGTGGGATGGTGGGGCGGGCATTCAAAACACACGCATAGATTGCAGAAATTAACGTAAACTTCAATAACAACAAATTACACATTATTATATACATATGCTATATATTATAAAACAAAACAAAAACAAAAAAAATACACATTATATACAAGCAATACATAGAAATAGTTTACAACAAAATTCAGCAGAAATCTTTATCTTGAAGATTGTCACAGCATCCAAGAACAGAACATCAGAAATTAACCAATACAGCAACAACAACAACAAAAACATAACACCCAAAATGGCTAAAGAAATTGTAAACCCTAAAACTCTTTTAAACTACAAAACAACAAAAATCACACACAAAAAATAAACGGTTTTTTCTAGAGAAGAAACCAAAAAAAAAAAAACCATTTACTGTGTCTTTATTTTGTGGGGGGTGGTGGTGGCTGGTGGCCTCATGGGTACAGTTGCCTACAAAAGCTAAGCAAACGTCATTTGCGCGCTCTGTCGACGTGTGCGATAATCTCTGTGTGGCTCTAAGTGTGTGTGAGTGTATGAAAGAAAGAGTGAGTGAGAGAGAGAGAGAGAGAGATTTCTAGTACAACTGGCTGTGTGCGTATGCTTGCATGTATGTGCTGATGTGTAAGTGGGTGGGTGGATGTATTGGAGGTGGGAAATATAAAGATGATCTCCCCTCCCCCGCCTGCATAAATGCATGTGCATATGTATATATTTATTATTTCTGTGTGTGTGTACCATTTTTCACAAAGTTTGCTTACATATTTTTCCCATTAAAGCTTCTGAGCTTAGTTCCAAATATGGCCGCAGTCTAAGCTTAACTTGGCGGCGTCACGGAGCTAGTTTTTACAGCATCTCGACAGCATGTAGTACCAAAATCAGACAACACAAACATGCAGGATCATGGCGCCACTGGAGTGTAATTAATACATGTGTAATAAATCGGCAGAAACCAGCAGCATATCGTATCGTGATAATTAAATATAACCCCATCTGTAGCTCTTATTTAGCTCTCCATAGGCGAAATCAATTAATTTTCTTTTTGTTTTATATTTAATTTTTTAATTTAATTTTAATATTTCATGATTCGACTTACAAAGTAATATTTATTTAGAGCAGACAAAAAAAGAGGGGTAGGGGAGATATAAGTATTCAACTTATTACATAATGAAAATGTTTTGTCGTCCCACTTGATCGCAGAGGGGGCGGGGATGGAGATATATCAAGATATCAATCAAGGGATCAATGTTAGGGGAGGAGGCAACCTCTGGTGTACGGGACGGGCGGGAGCTATGTTACAACACGGGGGCGAGGGGGAGGACGTCACGTATAAAAAAGAGATGTATCAATAATAATTTAAAAACTACAACTAGGATCTGATTGAGATGCACCTAGCCATGGGTATGGGTATGGGTATGGGGGGAGGTAAAAGTCCCAGTTAGTCTGCCGTCTCCTGCTTTTCCGCATCTACTCCGTGCTTGCTGCCGGGTGGTGGTGCCACCGCTGTTACGGGTGTCGGGGCCGCATTCTCGCCAGTTGCCGCTCCGGGTGCTGCTGGTGGTGGTCCGCTTGGTGTCGTCGCTGCTCCTGCTCCGACTCCGCCGCTGGGAGGTGCTGCTTGCTGAGGTGGCTGAGGTTGCTGGCCGTAGACGCCCACACCCACACCGGCTCCGACTCCGGCGACTGCTGCTCCGCTCGGCTCGTGCAGATGTCCCGGAGGTGGTTGTTGCTGCTGCTGCTGCTGTTGTTGTTGTTGTTGTTGCTGCTGTTGTTGCTGTGGTGGCGGAGGTGGGTTATTGCCGTGCTCGGGTGCATAGTGCACGCCCGGACCCGGATTCCCATTGTGCTGGGGCGGTGGACGCGGCGACATGTAGTGTGAGCCGGGCGGTGGTCCGTAAGATTGCTGATAGGGGGAGAAGGGTGCATAGTAGGGCTGCGGCGTGGGATGGCCACCGTACTGAGGCTGGTAGTACGGCGACCGTGTTGGACCGCCCGGCGGTGGTGGACCGTGCGGCGGTCCCCCATAGTTGGCATAACCCGTGTGTGGTGGCGGCGGCGGCAGACCCGGCATTCCTGGCGGCGGCTGATGCGGCGTCATATGCGGTGGCATGTGCGGATGGCCCGGTGGCGGATGGCCAGGATGTGGATGCATCTGCGGCATTCCTGGGGGAGGGGCCACTTGCTGTTGTTGCTGCTGCTGCTGCTGTTGTTGTGGTGGTGCCTGCTGCTGCTGCTGCTGTTGTTGCTGTGGCGGCAGTGGTGTCTGCTGCTGCTGTACATTTGGTGGCGGTGGCGTTGGCGTCGTCGCTGCCGCTGGAACAGATCCCGGTGCACTAGGGTTAGCTCCTGTCACCTCGCTAACAGCCATCGGCGGTGGCGGTGTGGGAGTTGGCACGGGCGTCGGCGTTGGCACCTTAGTGGGTGGCAGCACCTTCAGCACATCCTTGGGCGGTTCTCCTATCGTCACCGTCGACTGTGGTGGCAGTGCAGCGGCCATTTCCAGCTTTTCTGGCTTGATGGGTGGCGGAGGAACTGAGGGCTTTGGCGGTGGCTCAATATCCATGGGCTCCGGATCCGTCTTGCTTGCAGTTTCATGGACATGCACCACCGGCGCCGCAGGTGCTGGTATTGGCACTGGATTAGGCTGTGGCGGCTTGACCGTCACCGGCGTCGCTGGCGTTTCTTTCGCTGGTGTCAATGCTCCCGGTAGCGCGTCTTGTGCTGGCGCAGGCGTTGCAGACGGTTGGCCGGGCTGCGTCGGTGGCTGCTGCTGTTTGGAGGCCTCCTCGTTCCTACTGGCCACAGTGGGACCACCAGCAACGGATGCCGAGACGGGGCCGGTCGTGGAGCTATTGTTGGCATTGCTGGGCTCGTCTAGCCGCTGACGATCACGCTTGATGTCCTCGTACATGCGGTGCACCATCTTCTGGAAGGTGTCGTCATCGACAGCGGGCTTGCAATGCCGCTTCAGCTCCTCTTGGAAGGCCTCACTGGACTCCACCATGCGCTGCTTCTTGGCCTCGAACTTCTCCTCCATTTGCTGCAGCTCCGCCTCCAGTTTGGTCTGGTGCATCGTCAGGGAGCTCACCTGCCGCTTGAGCACCTGCATCCGGGTGGTGGTGACCACGGATCGGACATCCGGCACCACAGCCTCCGAGAAGATCTCATTGATCAGGCGATGATTGCGCAGATACCGAGCATACGCCATATGCTTGGCCGTGTAGCCCTCATCCAGGTCATCTTCGTCCTCCGCCGGCTGTATGTCGATGCGACGCTCGTGGGATTTGCTGCCACCGCCTCGGGACGGCGTCTCGTGCATATCCACATCCGATTTGAACTTGCTCTTGGCGGACATGTACGACTGATAGGCGGGCGTCTGGTGGTATGCCTTGAGCGCCTTCTCGTACTCCACCTTCTCCGCCTCGTACTCGTCGATGAATTCCGTTTTCTCCTCATCGCTGAGCAGCTTCCACATGGCGCCGATCTTTTTGCCCAGCTCCCACAGCTTCAGCTCCGGGTTCTGGGCCTTCACCATGTCCCACACTCGCTTTGAGTACCGCATGTAGGGCAGTATGGGCTTTTCTGGCGGCTTCGGTGGCTTGGGCAGGCGTGATTCGTTCTGGTTCTTGCTGCTCGATGATTTCGTCACCTTCTGTGGTGTGAAGGCCGGATTACCATAGTTGCTGTGGGTAAAGATGGGCGTTTGGTCCTTGTTCCGGTCCCCACCGCCACCGCCGCCAGACGAACGAGACCGGCTGCCGCCTTGGAGCGGTGTCACCGGCCCGGGCCCCGTTGGCGCACCCACTGCTATCTGCTTGTAGTTGCTCGGCAACGCCATTATCATTCATTCACAATGTTTTAGTTTTATTTAAGGGCAATTGCATCTAGACCAATACACGATTCAATGGTTATTTCATCGACAACAACAGAAAAATTTTCATGCGGACGCCATTTTTCTCTGGTTTGCGTCGGTGTCAGTGTGACCGCGGACTTATCGAAAAAATATACCGTCTGACGCTCAAAAATATACCGAAATATATGTTCTCATTGTCACAATAAATCGTAAATCATATTCCTCAATTTTGATGTTCGATTTCAAATTACATTAAAACTAAGACACTCAGCGCTAAAAATATAGTTTTATCCAATTGCCGAATAAATTTTCTACAATCTAGACCATTTTAAGGTCTCCCCTTCATTGGATTGTTTATAAAATACTGACAACAGGCAAAACGGACTACAAAATGGAACGCATGCAACGTAAAATACACCCCTTGCCAAAAATACCATTATGGATCAATTTTACCCAAGTTGGCAGCATCACTCACTTTAATATTAGAATTAAAAATAAACAAATACAATGTTTACCAGGCGTTTAATAGCTCGGCTAAGCCGCTTGAATAGACGTTCTGCTACCGCTGCGGGCTACCACAACAAGTGCCAGAGTCATCTGCCCACGGTAACGACGGCCTCTGAAAGTTTCAATCAAAACAGTGGACCTCTGAACCGGCGGCTTTTTAGCAGCCAAATCGAGACGGAGAGCGCCCTGGACACGGCCACCTACGAGCGCCTGTGCTCCGAGACCCTTGACGGCCTGTGCGACTACTTTGAGGAGCTGACCGAGAACGCCCCAGACCTCATTGGCACTGACGTGGCCTATGGCGTAAGTTGCCTCAGATTTTCACGCAATGGTTACATCATGCTATAGTGTCTTTTCCTTTCTTTCGGAAGGATGGTGTGCTTACAGTGAATCTGGGCAAGAGCCACGGCACCTATGTGATCAATCGCCAGACGCCCAACAAGCAAATCTGGCTGAGCTCCCCCACCAGCGGCCCCAAGCGCTTCGATTTCGTTGGCACACCCAAAGCCGGCAAATGGATATACAAGCACACGGGCCAGTCGCTGCATCAGTTGTTGCAGCTCGAAATACCAACTATTGTGAAGCCACAGACCGTGGACTTCATGCGATTGCCACACTGTAGTTAGAGTTAGAAAACTTGATAGAAAACAGAGAGTCGATCGTTTAATGCTTTACATTTTCGCTCACTTTATTGGTTCGTTCTGCTAAAATGGGGATGTTTTAAATTTATATTTTATTACAAACAAAAAATATGCTGTAAACTTTGGACTGCAGATTATGTTATATCTTTATTATTCTGCTAAATAATGGGGGACGGGACAGATGCTGAGGGCAGATCTGCTGAAACGTTTATTATCACTGATTCATTTATTTATTTATCTGCTTCGCATCAATAAGCTTTTGTCCCGGTACAGTACCGTTATGTCCTGATCACGGGGCCTTGATACAAACTATGTAATTTCTTATACATAACGTTTACTGCTTATTTTCGTTCTCTTTCTTTATTTGTTATAGTAATATTTAATTGTATTTTTATTACAAAACCAAAAATGTTATGCCGGCAAGACGGTGACGACTTTCTTCGACTTCAAGTCACTGAGAGAGGGAGCAGAGCTGAGGTGGTGTTGTCGTGTTGTAAGAAGTCTCGCTCCGTTATGATCGAAGCTATAGTTCCGTTGCTATAAAATCGGCATTACTGCACTTCACATGTCTCGCTCTTATCTCAATCTGCTGACGCATACTCAAGCTCAAACAAAACCGAAAAAATATATATAAAATTCCACTTCTTGTGGCCAGCAGCAAAACTGATGATCGATATCGATATGAAGATGTGATCAACAGCTGTAGCTGAGTTCGCTAACGGACTAAACTGCTCTCACACACATACACAACGCGGCTATGCATGAGATAGAATGAGACAAAAATGTGTATGTATGCTGCAGCATATGCAGCTCCTTTTCCTTTTGGGGTTTGGGCGTTTTGTTGCGAGCGAAATGAAATATGAATATTTACTAAATATTAAGGTTACGCCTGAAAACTTAAACTAGTGACGAGGCCCGAACATGTTGTTGTACTGCTGTGAGGGGTGGGGCTGCTGCTGCTGCTGTTGTTGTTGTTGCTGGGCAGCCATGTAGTTTTGCTGCTGAATGAACGGCGGCGGCTGGGGGACAGCGCCGTTGTTGGCCCAAGGATTGAGTGGTACACCGCCATAGCCGGGCGGCATATCCTGCCCAGGTCCCTGGTAGTTCGAGTAGCCAGGATAGGAGTAACCGCCATTATAATTGGTGCTGGGATCCTGGCCAAAATGATGCGACGGCATTTGGAATGCCGAATTGACATCCTGCTGATTGTAGCCGGCCTGCTGCTGCTGCTGTTGCTGTTGCATTGGATTGGCATTGGGCCCTCCCATTTTGTTGAATCCTTGTTTCAGCTGCTGCTGCTGCTTCTTTGCGGCGGAACGCGAGGTCTTGCCTAGAGCCGGAGTACCAGCACCAGACGGGTGTTCACGATTCGCCTGCTGGACGCCACTGCCACTGCTGCCGCCAACGCTGCCCCTGCCTCCTTGCTTCTGGCAGTTGGTGAGCGTGTCCATCAGATTGGCTATAATCGATTCAGTGTCGAGCGAAAACTTTGAAGCGGCGGCCGGTTTGAAAGTCAAAGCATTCGGCGAGGATGGGACTGGTACAACAGACAGTAGGCCGGTGCCCCTGCCACTAGCACCACCATTGCCTCCGCCGCCGCCATTCGAGTCGCAGGCCTTCATCACCAAATCATCAAAGTTGTAATCGTCATCGTCGTCATCGTCAATGAGGAATCCTGGTGAGGGGCGTCCGAGGCGACGCTGCTTGCTGCCTTCGCGCAAATTCAACTCGCGCTCAAAGCTACGACGACGGACATTCAGCGAGGATAGAGCAGCGGCCGTGGCCGCCGCCGCCGAGCCGCCAGCAGATGCAGAGTTGTTGGACAATGAAACAGTGGCAACGGCAGCCGAGACAGCGGATGTATTTTCCGGATTGATGGTGCCAGCGACGCGTGAGAGAAAATCACTGCAAGACTCACCATCGCCGCTTAGCTCCGCCAGATTGACATACTTGCGCAGACATTCGACGCGCAACGGCTCCTGGACCTCAAGCTTGCGCAGATGACCGATCAGATGGACCTGCTCCTCGCTGGAAAGGAACTTGAAATTCTGCAGCAATGTCTGCAGATCGGAATCGGTGAGGGACTCCATGCCAATGCTGTCCGATTTGGGCCCCACCACCGTTTCGATCTTCTCCTTCTTGTGCAGCTGACTCTCCACCTCCTTCATCAGCTCGTCGATATCAATCTCAATGGGATCGGTGACCACCTTGTCCTTCTTCTTCTTCAGTCCCAGCAAATTGAGAACTTCGGAGAAATTAAATTTCTTGCCCGCCACCCGACGGCTCCTCTCGATCTTCACCAGCGTGGCATAGAAATGCAACAGCCTGTCCATATCATCGGTCCTCACATCATAGTAGCCCTTGACAACCAAGGCGCTGGCCAGCTTCGAGTAGATAATTTGCCGATCGTATGGCAATGGTATGGGCGGTGGTGGTATGGCACTGGCCGCCTTGCTATTGCCGCCGTCATTCTTGGCTAAAATGGTACGTGAAAAGGCGCGGCAAGGAGCACAACACGAAAAGAAAAAAAAAGGGAAAGGTTAATCGTCAGTCGTCTCATGTATATTAAACGCAAATGGTGTGTATGTGATTCCGATCCCACCTCAGCGGATCGAAATCGAATTACAGTACAACAAAAATTACTCGGCAACAAAATAACATTTTATACTTATGGAATGGTGTGGCGGTGGTAGAAGGATGCTGCTCTCCCTTCCGCAGGGGCGTTGCGGGCGTTCAATTTTACACTTTGTTTGTTATGTTTTTTTTTCGTTTCTTTTTTTGTTTGAAAGCTAGACTCAAATTCATCACCGATCAACAACTGCTGCAACACGAACGCGAAAAGGGTCTGAACGGACGACGTCTGTAGGGTGTTGTACTCAATTCCGATCCGATCCGATCCGGTTCGGAAGGGAAGAAGTATACAAAAATCATGCCCCAAAATGCGCGCGATATTACCGATAACCGGACCGATTCAAATCGAGTTGGCGATTTATTTATCGGATTAATTGCTGTATATTTCTCTTGGGCCTTGCGCACACTACTATAGCTGAAGGCTTAGCCCAAAGCGGGTGCTGAGGCTAAAATAAGCTTTCAAGCTGACTGGAATTCTGGTCTGATTGAACACAGAGTTTTTTAAACCATCTTAAATTTGGTGAAAATCGGTTTGCTGCTGCCCATACCAGCGCTTTCTGCGTTTCCGGTAGAAATTATCTTTTTAGGTTTCTATATCATAATTATAGTAAGCTCTGCCCTGAAATATGCCTTAGAATTATTGCTTACAATATTTACCAATATGTGTATCTTCAATTTTCAAAATTCTACATAAAACATAAGCTCACATAAGTATAAAAGTAGAGTCGCGGCCACAGAAGCGACTCACAACGTTCCTTCTCGCTTATACAACAATATTTCCCTTTAATATTCACATTTTAATCCATAGTTAGCAGATAATTGTTTATCAAATAAGTTAATAGAGTGGAAATGTTGCCTTTAATTTTCTTTGATGACTTTGCAAATCATTTGTCGGAATATATATCATAAATATGTATGTATAGCCGGTGACATAATAACAAAATATTATTGATAGGTAGATATCAGACCAGACCAGAACACACACCTTCAGCGGATCTAGTTGAGCTTTTAGCCTGGCTTTTCGGAGCTTAAGCAACAGTTTTTGGCTACACTTTCGGCTGTAGTGTGCGCGCGTTCACTTACAGAGTGGTTAATGACCATTATTGGGAGAGAGAGAGAGAGAGAAAGATAGACCCCCAAGCAGATTGAAAACAAAAGGGTTCAGATCAACGTTTTATTTAAATATCAATTCTCTTTTTGTTCGTTTCGTTTATTTGCTTTTTGTTTGAGCTGAATTAAATAGTGGATGAAATGTAATTTATTTCAAATTAATATATTATTCCCTTAACAAAAAGAAAACCAAAGTTAATGCTTTCTTTGTAACGGAATGACAATAGTTTTCAAGAGTCTTTTTGGTACAGAGTCCGGTGCTTAAAACCTTTCTCATTCGGTCACAAAGGACATACACGAATTCGGGTTTTCTATCGGTTGTATGAGCCGACAAGAAAAAAAAAAAAAAACCTGAAGCCAGAGGGAGGCTCCAAACGCGCGCGAGAGATTGAATGAAAGAATCGCGAATTCCGAAGGGACAAAACGAGTGTTAAATACTAGGACAAAGGGGGAATACCTTTTACTGACTCGAAGAGGATCTAAAAGACCAGAAGAAAACTGGAGTAGGACGAACAAATAGAACACTAAATACTTACCGCACACACACACACACACACACACACACATACACACGAGAATATCGAAGAAACGCGATAAAAGATATAGTGGGATATATGTACATACAATCGAATTTTCGGTAACTTAGAGCATAAAATAATTGGGATTGTAAACATACCTTTGGCTTTCACTTGAAAGATGATGGCCGCTATATTCGTGATCAACTTTTTCACAACGCGCACTTTTTGCGGATCATCCAGCACTTCGGCTATGAGGATGCCCTTCAGTTTCTCTTTGATTGTCTCCAAGAGCACACAATTATCCTCGTTCAGCAGCAGATCATCGGCCGCATTCGCCCGCACCATCTCCATGGCCAGTGCCTTGCTGAGCAGACTCAATGCCTTCGGTCCGAGACTACCCAAATGATCCTCGACGGCGGATAGCATGCGCAGCACACTGACCACAGTGAGGGGTCCATCGTCGGCCACCGACGTCTCTGTATCCTTATCCTTTGCGTTTGCTGGCGAATCGGAGCGTGTCTTTTTGGGTAAACTATATTCGGGATAGACACGCGAGTCCATCACACGGAATGTCTCCATGCGTTCGTATGGCGCATGACTCGTACGGCTATAGCTGCCGCTGCGATAGAAATCAGCATCACTGGTGCGTTCCCTGTCCCTGTCCCGCTCCGGATCGCCGCTGCGACGATCCGAGTAGTCATCACGCGATCGTCCATGATTCGATGACAAACCCTGATGGTTCATGGGACGGCGATGATAGTAGACAGGCGAACGAGAGCGATGGCCACGCTGTGGGCTGCGCGAGTAAGGGCTACGCGAATCGTTGTGTCTGCTGTAGTGGCGCCGCGGCGAACGGCTGCGTGATCTGCGTCCTGGATGACGGCCTCCTCCGCCGCCAAAGCCACGCTTGGGCGACTTCGATTGCGAGCGAGAGCGTCTATACTGCGCACGATTCCGCGTTGATGGATTGGGCGCTTCGTCATCGCTAAGTTCGATGACAGTTTCAGCAGCATCGCCGCCGCCACCTCGATTGCTGCGAAAATTCGGCTTACGGCGGACATGGGGGCCGCTTGATGCAGGGGCTGATGCCTCACGCGGACTGGAGACACGTATCTTGTAGCGTTCCATTAGGTCCTTGGTCTTCTCCTCATCCTCGTCGGTCAGCTTGAATTTGTCCTTTAGTTCTTTCTTGATTTTGGTGACGGCAATGTTGAAGAGCTCGACGCGTCTGTCCTTCCAGTAGCTAATCCATTCGGGCTTGTAATCGTAGCTATTCGGATCGGTCTTCTTCTCCTCCTGCAGCTGCTTGTAGCGACGGTTCCAGAACTGCTTCCACTCGTCCGGATAGTCGGGATGCTTCTCCGGAAACGATTCGTATGTCTCCGTCTCATCGCGCAGCTGCTTCAGCTGCAGCTCGAGCATGCAGCGAAATTTCTCCCATTTATAGCGCTCCTGGGCAATAATCGATGCCTGTATGGACAGCTCCTTGGGCGTGGGCAGCTGTTGTTTGGGCAGCTCACCGGGCGCCGGTGGCGAACGATTGGCCCCACGGCCACTATGCGATTGCTCGTCGATGATGCTCTGCTTTTGATTTGGGCCAGATCCAGGGCCAGTGCCGGGGCCAAAGCTTTCATCATCACTGGATATCGCATCGAGGGCAATGAAGTCGCTGCTGTTGTTCTTTTTCTCATCGCGTTCATTCTTTTTTGGTGCATTCTTGCCGGCCTTCTCCTCCCTCTTCTTAATATCCTGCACCAGTTCTTGCGCCTCCTGGACAAAGTCAGGGCCAGAGCACTCATCGAAATGGTACATGTCACGCGCCTGGCTGCAGAATTTCGAACGATGTTGCTTAAACTGTGCGCCAAGCACCGACACAATGCGACGCGCACGGCCGTAATGTTTTTCAATGTGTTGGCAAAGAATCCCAGTGGCAATCACCAGATCGCCGGTTTCAGTTAGCGTCCGCTTCTGTATCTTCTCCAGCTCCTCGTAGGCCTTCTGAAAATGTGTCTGCAAGTATTTGCTGCGATGCGACACCGACGTCCAGTGTACAAACACCGTGCTCAATTCGTTGAAGTTGTTGCACAGGACACAAAAGTACTTGGGGCGCAGGCGTCCCTCCTCGATGATCTCGACGCTATATTCGGTGCCAATCAATGGTCCGCGTCTGAAATCTTCAACTTGCTTCTGTATGACTGCCGGGCGGACTGAGGAGTCATCTTCCTCGAAACCGGGTGGCACTGGTTCGCCCGGCAGAAAGCTCATCGTTCCTGCGTTCCTGCCTATATGAGATGGAGGGGAAAACTGGCGCACACAATCTCGGAATCAATCTTTAAACACCGAGAAAACCTGTCCGAATACGAAGCACATGGTAGTAAGAGAAATCAGGCCCGTTCCCTACTTACCTTTTATTTGGTGTTTGTCCAAAATCAAATTTCAATTTGATTTCGGGTCCTTCTCGCTACGCCTTCTCCCGGCTTCGTCTTCTTTTTCTTTATTTCTTTACTTGTTTTCGTGCAGCACAGCACTGTTTTTGTTTCACTCAAAAAAAACGCCGCCACACACACACACACTTCTCTTTGGAGCGGTAGCGCCCGTAGATGTGGCTTGCCCGGTTAAATAATGTTACTTACAATGCTTGCCGGCTAACAGGCGTCTGTCCTTTTGTGCACTAATACACTCTAAATATACCTTTCGCCTGTTTTTTCTTCGTTTTTACGAAGAAAAAAAACTATACAATAATTTGAGGTCTTCCTAATCAGTGTGACCGTGGATTTATGGATAAAATAGAGGTGTCAAACCATCGAGGGCACTATCGATAGTATCGATATTTTACTGCTAGCCTCTACTATCGACGGTTTTGAGACTATCATGATAGTATCGAGCTAGAGTCGTTGCGCTTTTGATGTTTGGATTGGCTGCTATAAAATACGAAGACACATTTGTAAACAAATCGACAGGTGGCATATAATTTTTACAATGGACAAGTTCCTAAAAGGTTTCAATGGTTTTTTAATAATTATTTGAGCCCGATACTATCACGATAGTATCGATTGTATTTTCAAAACATTCAATGTTGATATTCCTCAATTTTGATATTCCGTTTAATATTACTAGCTAGCTGGGACTCTAAGCTCTGCACATATAATTTTATCCAATTCACGAATTAATTTTCCACGCGATTGGTAATTTGAAGGACTCCTTTTAGACTTGGGCAACAGTTTTATGCTGCCATTAATATGTTTCTTAAATTAATTGTTGCAGCAGTTCAACCATAGTGGCAGTGAAGTCCAACTGAGTGCTGATGGGGTACAAACGAAATCCAACAGATGGCGCTCGTAGTGGGCGGTTAATTTGAAAGAATTTGCCAAGGCTGTTTTAATTTAAATAAATACCGCGAAATTCATTGCAATTGCACATAATCTAAGCTTAATCTGATTACTTAATATTGTTCACTTGCTCTTCAAACAGAAAGTGCAGATGCTGATGCGCCTGCTGGGGCCTCCAGCTCCACCTCCACCTCCGCCGCCTTCGTTTTCGTACTTATGCAGCAGACAAGGCTGAAAATCAGTTCCTGTGGTAGAAGAGAAGAATCCACAGATGAGAATAAAATTGAAGGCGGGTATTCCACTCCCCCCCCCAGTGCAGCTCTCGTACCTGTCTGCAATGTGCTGCTCAGATGGGTGATGTAGCTGCTGGCCAAGCGGATGATTTCGATCTTCGAGAGCTTGCGGTTCATCGGCTCCGTGGGTATCATACTGCGCAGGGCCTCATAGGCGGCATTGACACTATAGGAGTGGAGAAGGGCCTTAGAGCTGCGGCTATGGCTATGTGTGTACCTTGGACTTACTTGAAGGTTCTGTAACGCTCTCTGGCATTGATCTTTTGCCTGGGTGGCCGCCTCCTGCCGCTTCCGCCTGGCTGCGAGTCCTCGGAGTCGCCAGCCCCTCCACTGGCACTCCCATCGGTGGGACTCTGGCTGTGGCTGTGGCTGTCGTGGCTGAGGGCCGTCAGCAGATACGTGGCTGTTGCTGCTGATGAGATCGCCATCCGTTTGCCTCGACGATCGCTGACTGAATGTGGCACGCCGCCGAAACAGCAGCTCTGCCCCAGAATCACTGCCTCTGGCTCCGCTTCAGCCTCAGGTCCAATGGTGGTCCACTGGTCTGCTGATCTGCTGGTCCGCTGGTCCGCTGGGCCTCTGCTAAATGAATTAAGTCATCGCCAAGTGACGACAAATTGTGCATGAAGAGACACACACAACAAAAACAACAATAACGAGAGCATTTCTTACATTGGCCCCTCAGCTCGCGCACTTGTCAAAACAAAGCCGCACAACTAGCTCCCTCCCTCTCCCTCTCCCGCTCACTCTCACCATCCACCCATTCCTTTTTCTCCGCACAAACGAAGTACTTGTACAATATTAATGGCGCATTGAGGGACGGATCCGATCCGATCCGTCCCAAGGATAAATACCCATCTTCATTTGTCCATCGATAATTTGTTTAGCCAATTTATTTGTTGGTTTTATGTGCGGCCTGCTGCCTGGAAAACGGAAGTGGCCCTTAGAAGACCACACATGCCACGCATGCGTTCAAGTGCGGCATGCGTTGCCTGCTCCTCTCCCTCTCCAGCAGCTCCGTGGAATGTGCCCAGAGGGATAATCCAGATATTTATAGACTGCTGCAAGTGGCACAGCTCATAAGGAGGTGTCCCAGTCGTCAGTTAATCAAAAGAAATATGTATGTTTAAATTTAATATTAAGAATCATTTTATTTATATTTTATACACATTTGTCGAAACATTCACTTAGGTGGCTAGAAAAAAATCATAATGAGAAACAGAAACACAATTCGCTTAGGAGTAGGGAGGCGTATGAACAAATCCAGGGGCACAAAAATGGGGCGTGGCATAGGTATATAGATTGTATGTTGCAAGCTCGATCGATCGATATGTCTACATGAGTATATCTGTTCTTTGAGTGTGTGTGTGTGTGTGGGTGTGTGCGGGTGTGTGTGACAATAGCAAATAAACAAAAAAAATATATATATGGTAGATATTAAAATATAAGATCGAGTATATTTTTCTTCTTAGGGGGGGGACGGGAAACTTGATGTGTTTTCCTCATCTGCAACCTCCACTCCTTTTCTTCCTTTATCATTTCGTTCTCTTCATATTTCGTTTTTCGTTTAAAATAATTAAAAATAATAGTAAATAAAACACCACAGTCATGATTTTTAATAGAACACAAAATATACACAAAAAATTGTAGTGGGACAAATGGAGGGAGGGTAGTCTGAGGGGAGGTGGTGTACAAATTAAGGAAAAGCTCGAGAATACGTGTGGAAAATGTTGTGAAAACTTGCAAATAGCAAAATATTTACAAAAGCCAAAGAATTACAAGAAAAAGACAGCACTAAGAGGGGGGCGGGGGGACTTTAGGCGTTTCTTTTTTTTGTTTTTTTTTTTTATATATTTATATTTTTATATATTCATATTCGTATTGTATTTTTTGTTTGATTTTTGTTGTTCTTCATTTTTATTAACATATAAATAAATTTCTTCGTTTGAATTTCTGTATTTCGTTTTCTTCCTTTTTTCCATGTCTCTTTTTTTCTATATTTTGTTATGAGAATTTTGCTAAAAACGATTTAAAAAAAAATGTACATTGCCAGAAGGTTTTTGTGGTTGTTTTTGTTTTGTTTTTTGTTTGTATCAAATGAGTGGCGTGTGTGAGAGAGAGAGAGAGATAGACAGAGTGGACGGTGACGGGTAGCAAGATGGTTGTGGGTGGGGATGGGGGTGTGTGGGGGACAAGGTGTGTGATCTGCTGCTGCATTTGACTCTGTACAGTTGAGCGTGTGACTTGACTAAATCGGGCGAGGGCGTGGCCAGTGCTGGGATGGAGCCAAGGCCAAGGCCAAGGCCGGGGGGATCCGCTGGAATCCTCGGGCCTTAGATCAGTGCCGTTATCAGCTTGGCCTTGAAGTTCACAAACTTCTCGCTGGTGGCGGCCACGCGCTGCAAAAAGAGAAACAGAATTAAAAAATATTTTCAAAAATCCAAGACATCGAAAATGGGATGGGGATGGGGATGGGAATGGGAATGGGAGGAATGAGTCGCTTACCAGAATCAAATCCTGCACCAGATTGGCCAGACCACGATTGGCCAGCACGACCAGGCGCGTCACGGGGCCGGGAATGCCCTCGGTGTAGCCATCGGCATTACGGGTGCTGTCCCCGTCCGTGTCGTCGGAGCCGAGGCTGCCGCCGCTGCTGCTGCTGGTGCCGCCGCCCACGGAGTTGGCCGCCTCATCGCCCTGCTGGGTCTGAACGCTGCCCGAGAAGAGCTAAACAGATGGAATATAATGCTTGATTTCGGTTCATCCAATTGGATCGGTGTGGGGGCGGCTACTCACCCGCACTACATCGAGCAGGAAATTGCCAGAGCCGCCGGCTCCCAGGCTATTGCCGCTGGGCGAGCCACCGGCACCGTTGCCGCTGGACCCACCGGCCAAACCCGCACCGCCGAAATTGAGGAACCTTTTGAACAGATTACTATTTGGTTGGGTGGGTGCATTCATTCATTCATTCCATTGGTGGTTTGTGTGGGTTTTGTTGTTGAATTTTTCGTTGTTGTTTTGTTGTTTTATTGTTGTGAAGAGGGGAAGAGGGGGTGATTGGAGGAAAGTGTGAGATTAGTTGAGTGTCTGGGGTGGAATTTTCATTTGAGTTTTCACTAAAAAGTTAATGCCATCGATAGACGATAGGATCGCTAATTGATCGAACAGTTCTATCGATAAGTGATGTAATGTTCTGCACGACCAATGGATGGGTGGTGGTGTCAAGTGACTCCTGTTTCGGCCCCATATACATATCGTATGTGTGTACCGCACTTACCTCTTGTTGCGGTCATCCAGCTCGGCCGTCTCCTCAGCCGAGTCGAGGGTCAGCTCATCGATGGCCGGTGACTTTGACTCCGACTGCTGCAGATCATTGGTGCTCAGGGCCTTGACATCGCCGAGGCTGGCAGTTGGCGAGGATGTGCCGCTGGATGTGCTGTGCGTGGGCAGCTCGTTGTTGAAGCTCAGCTGAATGGGTTCGTTGGACTTGAGGGGAATGGGGGCCTGGGCAACGGGCGAGGCCTGTGAGGCAGCGGCGGCCGCCTCCGCCTCCTTGACCTGGCGTGCCACGCGAATGGTCTCCTCGAGCTGTTTGTTAATCGCCGACAGATCGATTTGTGTATCGGTGGCGCCGTTCTGTGTGTGTTATCGGGTGGGTGGCAGGTTGCAGGTTGCGGGTTGTGGCATTTTTTTTCGGGTACGGATGCGGATACGGGTTCGGGATTGTCATTGGTTTTGTTTTTATGGTTGTTGGTTGTTTGGTGATGTTTTTTACAAATTTCGAATTTTTTGGCGTTGATTTTGTGCGTTTGTGTGTATACATAGGGAGGGGGTTGGTGGGGGGGGGGGTGGTGTGCAACAGGGAGCGGGGAGCGGGGAAGCATGGAGCGTGAAGCCAAAGGGATAAAGCATAAGATTCGGCGCAGTGTGGTGTGTTTTGTTTGTGGGTGTGTTGAGTATCATCCAACGTGTGTGTGGGTGGGGTGTGTGTGTGTGGGTTGTGATTGATTTGATGATTGAGTTCGATGTGAGGTTAGATTTAGGTAGAGAGAGAGAGGGGAGGCATGTTATGGAATGTTTTCGAGGAGATTTGCACAATCGATTTGTTTGATTGATCGATTAATTAATCGTGTGGTGATGAGTAGATAAATGCACGTGCACAAATGCGTTTTGATGTATTTTTGTATACATTTGGATTTCGATGACGATTTCGGTTTTTGTTTCGTTGATTGTCGGAATGATTTGCAGTTATCGGTTGTCAGTTATCGGTTATCAGTTGATCGTTTGATAATTATTTTGTTTTGTTTTTGTTTTTTGTGAGTTATTGATATTGCACAAATCGAATCGGGTTTTAATGGAACATGAAAATAAAGAGAAAAAGATACAAAAATAAGCAAAAGACGAAAAACAAAAGTGGAGTGAATGGTAGTGGAGTGGAGTGGAGTGGCGAAGGCGGTATAGAAGATAGATCAAGCCAAGAGACAAGGACTCTACCTTGGATGGTAGATGGTATATCGAGCCACTGCTCGAACGGAAAAGTCAAATTCGGATTGGATAATAACTCTGAACTTGAGTGGAGAATATCTGAGTACTATATGGAACTATTGAAGGAATGGCCAGTTCCTGCTCATCTGTTTTGTTTTTGGCTTCTCTTTGTTTTTGAGCGGCAGCAAGACGAACGCAAATAGTAGACAGAGACACGGCACACGATGATGAGTGCAGGAATGAATAAATACACGGATATAGATCGCTTTTGTGGAATGCTTTTTGAATGTGCGAAACGATATTTGGGTGAGAGAAGTCAGAGGATATGAATGAGGATACTCGTGAGCATGAGGATTGATCTACCCAAAAAAAAAAAGAAGAAAAAAAATAAGAGTGACTCGTTTCGATGCGTGACTCGTTTCCCACAAAATGAAATGGGTTTTGCAGTCTGTCTGGGCACCAAAAGTGTGTATGAAATATATATATGTATATGTAAGAGGGAGGGAGATACCATCTACATATATCTGTTATATATATCTGGAGCGGGTATAGTTTCAATAGCAAAAGTCATTCGAGGGGTAAACATTAATTCGGTATATTTGGAAATGTATTTAAAAAAATGTCTTACACAACTAATACAACATAAATGTAAAATATAATTCTTGTAAAAAAACACCTACTAGCCTAGGGACGAGTGAATGAGAGTGCGCATGAGGGAGAGGTACAGATATGCAGAGAGACACAGAGACAGAGAGAGAGAGAGAGATATAGATGTAGGTATAGGTAGAGAGGTTCTGAGTGAAGGTAGGAGAGTGGACAGTGGAGAGACAGGCAGATATAGTACAGTCAGAGAGAGAGAGAGAGAGAGGAAGAGAGAGAGTGACAGAGAGTGCTTTCTTGGTGGTGAGTGGGTGGGTATGTGTGGGTGTGGTGTGCTGAAAACCAGTGTTGGTAAAAGTAATTTCAAAACAATTTCGTGTTGTTAAGCAATGCCAATTTCATTTCATTTCATTTCCATTTAACATAATTTTAATATTTGTTTGGATCTGTTGGGGCTGTTGTTGGTCACACATGTGGTTGTGCCTGTGCTTGTGGTGGTGGTTGTTGTTGTTGTTGTTGTTGTGTTGGGGATATTCTTTTAGTCGCTGCACGGAAAAATTTAATAGATAGAAAAACCAATTTAAGTGCCATTTCTTTTGGAGTTATCTCACAGTTGTTGTAGCAAATGGAACGCACATTTCTGTTTGTTTCTTTGTTTCTCTGTGACTTTACAGGGTGTCAGCCGACTCAGTGGTGGTGGTGGTGGTGCTGCTGCTGCTGCTGCTGCTGCTGCTCTTGTCCACGGCATCGATCTCGTTGTCATCGTCGGGCTCAAAGGTTGGCAGCTCGATGGTCACCCGCGTGCCACTGGAGTCGCTGGAGGTGCTGGAGCTACTGGGGCTGCTGTCACTCTTGCTGCTCTCATCATCGTCGTCGTCGAAGTCCGCATCGAAGCTGGTTCGTGCCGCATTGGCGCTGTTGCCCTGGATGGCCGTTCGTAGCACCGTGGGTCCCAGGGTGCGCAGCAGCTTGGAGATGATGCGGTTCGCTTGCTCATCGATTTGCTACAACAACCAGGAATCGATTGCGGATTGCGGATTGTGGATTCGGTGTGTTTGTTGGTCGTATAGGGTGCATAGGGGGGAGATTAGTTTACTTGAGTGTGGTTACATACGTTGGTGGGTGGGAAGGGGTGGAGTGGTGGAGTGGTGGGGTCAGGGGTCGCTACTGAAAGGAACTGGGAACTTGTTGGGTCTCTAAGGGATATCAACGATAAGAGTGCGCAATAAATGTGGTGTGGCGTGAGGTCTACGGGGTGGGTGCAATGGTACATCCAATGTTTCGAGTGAAGTGACTTGTGAATGGGATTCAATGTTGGTTCAGAAACGGTTCAACAGTGCGGCTCTGGCTCTCCAGTTCGAGATTCCATTCCAATCGTAGCCTGGCTGTGGTTTCACTTCCGCATGGTTCAGAATTGGTGTAAAAATAGAAGCTTCAAAATAGATTGCAGCCAATGGGATTGAGCGCGCATTATGCTCGATATTACACATAAGAAATGGTTTTATCTTTGAATCTTTTTGAAGTTGTTCTCAAGTTTTGAAGTTCCTTATGGAACCACCGAACCATACCGGAACCACCGTTGAACCGTTTCAAGTTTCAATCCAAACGATGAGTGAGACTGGAAATGTTTTTTTTTCTGCTAAATGATGTTTTCAGATGCCTGTTCCTTCTTCTTCTCCTTCTTTTTGTTCTGTGGATGTTCTTGTTGTTGTATTTTTTTCTGTTTTTTCTGTTGGAGTGGTTGTTGTTGTTGTTGTTGTGGTGATTGTTGTTGTTGTTTGTGGTTGTTGCTTTAAATCCTTAGCATTTTGTTCAGATCAATCAAATACTGGCAATAATTTCGTTATGCTGCCCGTTGTTGTTGTTGTTGGTGCAAGGGTGGTTGTTGTTGTTGATGTTGTTGTTAGATTATCTCTGGTTGTAATAAAATAATTGGTAGAATTTAATAAACGATTGATTTCAGCGATGATGGTTAGCAATTGTGGTTCATCGATGCTATTGTCGGTGGGAATCTGGATGGTGGTTTTGGTAGGTACTGGAGGGGGATTTTCAGTAGTGGAGGTGGTTGTTGTTGCAGGCGTTGTTGTAGTTGTTGTTGCTGAATCTACAGCTGTCACTGGCTCCAAAGAGCGCGGCAACAACAGGCTCGGTATATCCACACTGCTTTCGGTGGTGGTGGTGGTTGAGGTGGTGGTGGAGGTGGAGGTGGGACTGGTATTGGATGAAGATGCTACTAAAGTGGGTAAGCTATCACCTTTAGTTGTCGCCGTGCTTGGCGTCGTTGTTGTCTCTGGCTCAAATGTGGGCAAATCTATCTTCACCCGCGAGCTGTCATCGCTGCCATTCACCTCATTGGTGGCTGCTGCTGCTGCTGCACCACCTGCGCTGCTGCTTGGTGCCGCATCGTCATCGTCATCGAAATCGGCATCGAAATCAGCATCGAAATCGCTGGCTGGCGTCGTACTGCGTCCGCCCGCACCGCCAGCACCCGCACCGCCACGATTGCCGGCCAGTATGCTAGTGAGCAGGCCGGGTCCGGCCACACGGATCACCTGGGCTATAATGCGATTGACTATCGAGTCGATTTCCTATCGAGAGTAGAGCACAAGAAAATATGCAACAAAAAATCGTTTCAACAACACTAAACACTGAGCTGGGAGCTGAGAGCTGAGCTTCCACCTCCATGATTGTCGTGGTGGATTCGTGGATTTGTGGTGGATTCGTGGATGATTCTTTGGTGGTTGGTTGTTGGTGTTGGTGCTTCCACATGAGATATGCTGATGCTGATGCTGATGCTGGTTGGTGTCTCGATTGATTGTTTTTTTTTTTCGATATCTGTTGCTGATTGCTGATTGTTTTGTTTCATTGATGATCTTTGGCCAATTTTTGAATGGTTTCATTTGGTTTCGTGGTTTTTTTTTTGGTTTTTCGTTTGCTGAAAACTCAATATGAGATTCGTATTGCTGGGCTGTATGTGTGTGTTGGGTTGTGTCTGTTTCTGTGTCTGGTGTTGCGAGTTGGTTTTTTTTTTTTTGGTTGGTTCTACTTGGTGGTGGGGGGGTGGTGCTGGCATGCGGAGAGGGGTTTGGTGGGGGTGGTTGAGTGCACTTTTGCCAAGCCCCAGGGACATGCAACGGGTAGTCGAAGGGTCGAGGAGTATCGGGAGTATCGGGAGTAGGGAATTCCAGCCACTAATAACCGATATCAGAATGTGCCAATAAGTGGGGAAGTTCGGGTAATGCCTTAAGCTATATCTCTATATGTATATATATGTGTGCAGATATTGGTTAGATTTTTGGGCTGGGTCTTGGCTCCTTGGTCTGGCCAGCAAACTCCCCATCGGGCTCGAAGCGGGTCAACTCCTCGGGCAGGCTCTCATAGTCCATATCGCTGGACGGTCGCTTCATTTTCTCCCCATTATCGGACTGGTTCTCAGTATCGTCCTCGTCCTCGTCCTCGTCTGAGGGTCTCTGGCTGGCCGGCTGCCCATCAAAAAGTGGATTAAGAATCGTCCCAAGGACGACGGGCCCGACGCGTGCCAACACATTATTGACTAGACGATTGATTTGCACATTGATCTCCTACACGGAACACATTTCATTTCATTTCGTTCGATTCATTTCGATTCGAATCGATTCGTTTGTCATATAAACACAAAACACATTTCATTTAGTTTGGGGTGTGACTGGTTGATTGATTGATTGATTGATTGATTGATTGATTGAGTGATTGCCTAGCCCTAGTCTAGTCTGGGAAGGAATAGAGAGTTAAGTTTCTGAGTGTGGGGGGCGGGCGGTCGGGACTGTGATTGCATTTCTTTTTCTTTTTCTTTTTTTTTTTATCGGGTGGCGTTGCTCTGAGACAGACGTAGAGAGGAGACAGAGAGGGAGAGAGAGAAGGGGCATGGGGCGGGTAGGGAGTTCGATATATATATATGTACATATGTATATGTGTATATAGTAGTTCGATGCATACCTTGGTTATATCCGGAAACAGTTCGCGCAGCAAGCCAATTGTTCTTTTATTGCGATCGGCTATCAATTGTTCTTGATCTTTGGCGCCCAATGTCAAGACATCGATTTCCTGCAAGAAATATCAAACAAACTCTGAGACTATGTATGTATGTATTTATATATATATATATATCTATTGCATAATCTGACAGTGAAATGCCAGAGAGCAAGCAGTTGAGGAAGATGAAGTCAAACAAAGAAAATAAAAAAATAAAAATAAAAATGAAAATAAGAAAACAACAAAAATGCCCCCAAAGTGGCCGCAAATTGACGAAAATAAAAAAGACTTTCACTTTAGACAATGAGTAGCCTTTGGCTGAGTGACTCCACTCCCCCTTCCAACCCAAACCCAAACCCCAACCCCAACCCTGCCCGCCCCCTGTCATTTGTGCAATCAAGTTTCAAGTGTAAATTGTAAATTGTAATTTGTATGTGGTTATGTTTTTCTTGCTGTTTGTCTCTTCTCTGTGGTCTTCTATCGGTTGCACAGCAACCTTTCCCTTTCCCGTTGTCTCCACTGCATCATTCTCCGTTTTGCAGCAGTCTGTGCACCACATTGAGCCACTAAGTGGGTGGCTCTTGAGCCAGGGCACAGCTACAGCTACAGCTACAGCGACAGCGACAGCGAAATGACTTTACACAAAAAGTTGTTAACGTTAATGGGCTATTCCGAGCAGAAACAACAACAAGTCTAGGGCTAAGCTATCAAAATATTGCACAATAAATTTTGAAAATTGCATTAAAATTGCATTTTGTGGGTGGGTGGAATGAATGAGTCACTGAATAAATGGCTGGGTGGGTGGCTGTGCGGGTAGGCAGCAACTAACTTGGACAATCAACAGCACGAGTCACTAAACATGCAACAGCAGCAGCAGCAGCAACAACCACTTCTTAGTCGCAGCAATTGTCAAGGTGCCAGGTGCAAGTCGTGGAAAGGCGAACGGGTGGGGCGGGGGGCGGTACTGACGGTGTGCCCAAGCTGCACAATCTAATAATATACCATCAACACCTTAACAATTGGAAAAGTTTCTGCCGCCCCCATAGCTTTTCCCTGACAGAGCCACAGAGAGGAGGGTAGGGGTAGCGGTACGGGCGGGAGCAGGAGCAGGAGCAGGAGCAGGAGCAGGGGGTTGAGGTGTCCATTTCAATATCGGACAATGCCAGAGAGATAAAATCCACTCAAAGTTGTTTATACCCTTAAGCAATGGAAGCCCTTGGGCACTGCAGAGCGAATTAAATATTTCATTTTTCAACTCAAATGGAATTTTGTTCTACGGGGATTGTTGGAGGGGTTCAGTCGATCTGCCTACCGATACGATAAAGTATGCAGAATCTGTAATCTGTAATTAATATGCATATATGCTGCATACAATGCGCCCATTGTTTTGAAGGGTTGACATTGATTTCCATTGTATTTAGTATGAATAATTTATTTTATTCGAGTTAAATTTCCAAGTAAAATTGCCGTCACAACTTTCGTACACTTTGAACTGTGCAACACACATCTGTGTGCCTATGTTGCCCCATTTGATTTGGCAGAGTATCGCAATGAAATTGTCACGTTTCTCAGCTGGTAAAACTTTTGGAATGCTTCGCGCAGCTACTTAAAGGTAAAAGATTGGAAGCGGAATGGCCTCGTTCCCAGTCCCAGTCCCAGTCCCAGTCCAGCCAATCATTCTCGGGGCTCATTCAGCTGAGAGTGCGGCTCCTCCTCATGCTGTTGCAACTCCTGATGTTGCCTCTCTGCTGTGCTGTTGCAGTGTTTAATTGACTCCAAAGTCGGTGCGGAAGTTGACTTTTACACGCGGGCGGAAGTCAGCAAGCAGCAGCAAGCAGCAGCAAAGATGATTATGATGATGATGATGATGGGGCGGAGACATGGCATAAAGTAAACTTTTGATAGTTTGGCCAACAAACTGTTGCCACTTGCTACTTGCCATCTGGCAGGTCCCCGTCCCCTGTTCCCTGTCCCCTGTCCCCTGTCTCTGTTTGTGCGACTCTGCCACACAGTGCGCGCCTCTCTCTCTCTCTCTCTCACTCTCACTCTCTGAAGTATTCATCATATTTTAAGCTGTCTGTCAGTGTCAGTTTAGTGCGACAATTGTTTGGATAGAGACAGACAGAAAGTACTTGAAGCAAAAGTTGCCATTTTTATGGGACATCTTAATGAATTTCAAATGAGTTCAAGTCCAGGAGGCAACGGGCAGGCAAACGTCATTAAAGCGAATGCTGTGAATTTTAAGCAGCTGCCCCAAGTATGTTGGGAATTTTAAGACAAATGCGGAAGAAGCCGCTGCTGCCACTTCGCCACGTTGGCACGCGGACAGCTCGCAGGCTTCACATGTATGTACATATGTATGTGAACTATGTGATATGTACATAAATATTGATATAGTAGAATTTAATGACCTGTGGACTGAGCTCATTCACTGGGCCATCGCTAGCTCCACGCCCAGCCCAGTGATAACGAAAAATACCTAGTAAAAAATCCAACAACGTTTTTTTAAATGGAAACAGCCAGACAGCCAGACAGATATCAATTGCCTTGACCTTAACCAACTTAAGGCGACTCTAAAACTTAATAAAAAATGCCACAAATAACTGTCATACATATATGTATATACAATGAATACATATACATATGTATGCAGATATGTAGCTATCTATATATGGCTGTCTGGCTGGTTTATGAAAAGAAACCCCCAAAGCAATCAATGGCGAATAGCTGGCAAAGTGGAGCCGCAATAACTAGATTCGATAAGCGACGAAATTACGCATAAATTAGCTATGCAAAAAAAAAAAAAAAAAAAAAACAAATACAACAAATTTGTTTAAAACAAATTGTGGAAGATTTCTTCAAGCGAAATACAATAAAAACTGTCGAGGCGTTAATTGATCTCCAAGAGAATATTTAACAGAGAGAGAGAGATGTTTGACAAACACTGCTTTCAGGCCTTAGCCAACACTGACTGCACCCTGCCACTCCACTCCAATGGAGGCCATCAAATATCAATTTAATTGCAAATGCGACCCCGTCATAGTGCGTGTCATGATCAAAGTGGATTAACTATCTATTTCTATATCTATATCTATAACCATATGGATGCGGGACACGCCCATGAGTGGCTAATCCATTGAGGGGCGGTGGTCGAAATGCTTAATGCTTAAGCCAACTTGTCAGCCAGCTTAAGGCCTTGCTCAAGCGGAGCTAATAAAAAATACGCGACACAATTAAATTAAATTGGAAAAAAAAAATACATAAATACTGATCAAAACTGGAATTTTAAAATGAATAAATCAAATGCGTCTAACCATTGGATAAACGTATTAATTATTCTCAAGAGTTTGCTAATCGCCTAAGAAAACAGGCATTTATCTGGTTTTTTTTGCTATTCCCTGTGGGATACTCTTTCAGAGAGGGTCCATATATGTTCAGGATCCTTCAGCCCCCTCAATCCTGCTGCCAGTACATCTCCAATGAGCATAATGGCTGGTGGCAGGGCAGGGCAAAGGTAAATGTTATTCGATTCGTGTAGACCAAAGCTAATCTTCCATTCATGTTTATTTTATTTTTGATTTATTTTTTTTTTTACTACAACTGCATAAATTTTCAGTCTCAACTTCATGACTGACAAGGCAAGCGCGTCTCGTTTGCCACTTAACAAAAATGCAGCTACCAACAAATTGCCTACAGAGCTCGTACAGCCCCCTTACCCAACCCTCCGAGTGCCACAAATTGCGATTGTCGCACAATGCGGCGGCATATGCGTGATATGTGTGCAACAGACCGGTGGAGAAGGAGCAGCAGTAGCAGCAGGGGCAGGGGCAGGGGCAGGCAGAGGCTTAGCTTACATAAGCGGCAAGTCTGCTATTGGGAGAGAGAGAGAGGGACTTGCACTTGGCAAGGAATCAAAAATGCTGTCGCTTGTGGGTGAAAAACCGAAGCAAAGATGACAGTGATAGTGACAAAGGGCAGTTCGAGACGTACGACGGCTTGTGGCACAGAAAGCAAAATCATATTAGTGGGGGTGGGGGTACCCTCAGCGGGGGCTGCCCCAAGTCGTAAGTATTTTGAATGAAGGATGGATCAAACCTTTAGGATATCCCACTGAAATGTTGCCGCATAGAGATAGTATAAAGGACCGGCAATTGGTATCTGACCTGCAGCTGTCCTCAGGGTATGACAAAGTTCGTTGTGTTCCTTGGGCCAACAAGCGACAACCGACAGCCGACAGCCGACAGCCGACCGGTTGTTGTTATGTCATTTGAACCACGTGCTGGGGGGCTCCAGCGCCAGCGCCAGCGCCAAGGAAGTTAGCGAAACGAGCGAAACGGAAAAATAGAAAGAGAGACGCAGTCGAAGACAAATAGACCGGCAGACAGACAGACAGACAGACAGACAGACACACCAAACAAAAATAGCAACTGCACACAATGGAGATATCATTGCAGTTGACATCGCTGCAGTACGATGGAAAAATTGTCCATAGCTCTCTGATGCCTCTCTTCCACAGAGCTACTTAGTGGTGCGGCTGTGTCTGGTGATAGGGGAGCGGGTAAGGGGTGGTTCAATCATCATTGTCATCCTCTCGTTAAATGATTTATGGCGCAAGGCATGTCAACACGCCGAGATGAGCATGATGAGCATCCCACAGACAATGATGAAGAGCAGCAGACGGATGGCCAGGCATTGCATAGCGTGTGGGCTATAGCAAACTAATACTATATTCGAGTATATGTATGTATATATCGGCATCATTATCGTATCATCGTTTTGTGGGCTACATTTTGACCTAGTTTACCGCTTTCAGCCATAGAGCTACAGAGCCACAGAGCCACAGCCATAGCCATAGCCATAGCCATAGTCAAATTGGGCAATGACAAAATTTGTTGGGCTTACAACTTTGTTTAACATTTTTAAACATTTTTGGTTTTTTTTTATGGAATTTTTTTTTGGGCCCTAAGTAGATGATATTTCAAAATGCGTGGGCGATGCACTCAAATGTATTCATTGTACGAGTGTGTGCATGATATCACAATTCCAAATTGCCTAAACGAGTTCAGTTCAGTTGAGCAATCAAAGGTTGAACAACTATTGAAAGATCCCAATCTGGACGAGGCAAAAACAACACCCAGCAGCGGCGTTAATATCTGCAGATGTCTTTGGTCTTTTGTCCTTTGAAAAAGTGTTTAAGGTTGCCTTCAAAAATGCATTAAATATCACATTAAATAATTGGCAAATAATTATTTAACGAAAGGGGCAGGGGCAGAGGCAAAGGAAGGGGAAGGGACAGGCATTTGTGCAAATTTGTTGCACAAAGTGAAAGCCATAAATTGACATAAAACAATGCTAAAACGCAGACCGAATAGGTATCTTTTTGGGTAACAAATTAGCACTGGTGCAGGTGCAGGTGCAGGTGAGAGGCAGGAGCAGAGGCAGGGGCTGGCCGGAGTGTTAATTGCTCCCCCCCGCCCATACCCAGAGCCCAATGATCCATGATCCATGGTGGCTTTGACGATGATCGAATGCGAACAACGAGCACGAAACTGTGCCCCAAATGAAAATGAAATGGAAATTGAAATCGAAATTGAATTGGTGACTGGGAATGGAATTGGAAATGGCAGTGGGGAATTGTCTTGCTGGCAATTAAGTAATAAAATAATAGAGCTGCTGCCTGCCTGGCTGCCTGGCTGCCTGGCTGCAGCTTGCCCAACACTCGAACCGAGTAACCCAAAAGTCCGGTTTGGAGCGGTAAATTGTGGACAGGCAGGCAGGCCAACACCCAGGCACCAAGACACACCAGGCTAGTAGCCAAGTAGCCAAGTAGCCAACTAGCCAAGCAGCAGCTGAGACTATAGCTGGCTAAGGAAACAGGTAACAAGTGTGCCAACTTCCTTGGAACTGGTTCGACTCGCAGCCATGAGCGTCGAGCTGGTCACGCAGGTCCGACGGGGCCCAGAGACCCCGAGACCTGCATTGGCGTGGCTTTGCCAAAAAAGTAAAAGGAAGTTTTTTTTGCGTCGCACCAAAACACGTTGGGGCCACCGCTCTGCACCGCTCTACGCCGCTCTTCAACGCTCTACGCTCTACGCTCTGTCGTCTCTGGAGCTTACTCATCCAAGTGCAAATTTGTCAAGCAAATATGTTCGAAAGGGCAACAGAGGCAGAGCGACTGCAGCAGCAGCAGAAGCAGCAGCAGAAGCAGCAGCACGCGCTACTCTAAGCGAGGTTGGGCATAAAAGTTTTCAATTGAAAATTAATGCATTTGGTTTATTTTAGTGCTAAATTTTCTCACAATTAAAGAGAACTTTTGAATGGTTTCGATTCAATATCTAAGCAAAGTGTAGAACTTGTTTGGCTACCCTCGTTTGTTGGACTTACCTTGCCATTGGCCAGTGGTATCTGCAGCACATCCAGTTCCTGGTTGCCGGCTGGCTGGGGCTGGGGTTGGGGTTGGGGCACGGGTACGGCGCTGATCAGGCAGACGGCGCTGCAAAGGGCCAGCGCCAGAATTTGCTGTCTGCTTGGCTGCCTCATGGCTCTGGAGTCTATGTCTATGTCTGTGTATGTGTCTCTCTATATGGAGATGTGCGCTGGAAAGAGAGGTGCCCAGAGTTGCATATTAATTAATGAGATACACAGATACACACACAGTCGGATACAGATACACAGTTACTGCTGTACAATCGATAAAGGTCGTCGCATTGACCTTCAGATGATGCGGCAGTTTATTTTTTCTTGCTGTGGTTTTTTTTTGTTTTTTTGTCTGTTATATCTCACATGTCTCGCATCTTGTCCTACACCCAAAAAAAAAAAACCGATGTCAATGATCAACGTTAAACGTTAAATTAAAGCCAAAACTCGCGTTTGATGTTGGCTTTTGGTTTGGTGTTGGCTTTTGTCGGCTATTCTCGCGTCCAAGGTCCCTGGCGGATATGCGGATGCTAACGCCAACTGTCAATATAGCCGCGACGCGGCATATGTTGGTTTTTGGTCAAGTTTAAATATTGGACATTTCTTGGGCAACACGCCGTATGAGTAATGCCGCATGCAGTATGTGGAAACGGCAGCAGAAACGGCGGCAGCAACAACAACAGCAGCAGCAGCAGCAGCAGCAGCAGCAGCAGCGAGCAATTTACTTGTTTAAATCACAACAGAAAGCGCGGCAATCAGAATTATGTAATTTTCTTGTTCACTTTTTGTATTTGGCCAGCAGCGAGCGCTGTTGCTGCTGCTGCTGTTGCTGTGTATTTGTGGCTGTGTTGCTGTAAGCCTTTCAAAGAAATTGTACGCGGCCCGGAGGCAGCGATGACCCGAGAAAAAATAATTTAGAGAAAGAGAGATGGAGAGTAAAAGTGGTAGTGCGAAAATTACACACACAAACACAAACACAAAAAATGTGAGAAAATGCATTAAAAACGCTCACGCTTGAGTCGCGACTCCAATTGAAGGGCTTAGAGCGGAAGGGTACCCGGTGCCGGGTCGCAGCTAATTTTCGTTGGTCAACAGAGAGCCCCTGACAGCCTCCACTCCACACTCCACACCCCACACTTCGCAGGTGAATCATTCAGCTGGGTGGGGGGGCCTAATGACAATCTTTTATTAGAGGTGAAACTAAGTATAGAGTGGGGGAAACCGCTAATTAGAACTGCTTGCTGTTTCGCCTGTTTCGCCTGTTTCGCCTGTTTGGACTTTGGATATACTCGCACAATACTCGAGCACTCGTCTGGATGATGGCAGCATGGGCAGGCACAAAGGTTAACAGCGGCCCCGACTGACAATAGTGGAAAATTGTTGGGCATGGAAAGTGCCAAAGATAGTCTAGGGATTAGAGATCCAACTGGGACCGCTCTGACACCAAGGCAACTATGGATAAACCAGGTCCAAGTTCAAAACTCCAAGCAAGTGCCATCAAGCTACTCTGTCCAAAGGTCAACAGAAGCACTTTTAATGCTTCGAAACTATTTTAGGAATTTTCATAATTATTTTTTGAGCTTTAAGAATTTTAATAATAATTTTCTAAGCTTAAAGAATTTTCATAATTATTTTTGGAGCTCTAGGAATTCTGATAATTATTTTGTAGTGTATCTACAGCAGATATATTTTCGTATTATGAAAAATCTTTATTCGAAATGAACTTAAAAATTATTTTGTTTAAGTCTTTCTCTGTCAATCAATCGGACAATCAAAAAATTTGGCAATCCCAAGGGATTGGATGGGAGGGAGGGAGGTATGCGGAAGAGGGTACCCGAAACAATTTTGTTCGCCAGTTTGTTGTGAGTGGCAACAACGGCAACATGCAACATGTTGTTGATGATGGTCAAGAGGGAAAGAGAGAGAGAGAGAACATGATTAGGCTTAACATGGCTCAGAGACTGTTAAAGTAGGGCGTAAGCGCCAAAAGCAGGCAACAGCGAGAAAGATAGAAGGAAAGAGATGGATAGAGTGTTAAGCAGAGAGTGAGGAAGATAGGGAGAGGAGACGCAAACCGGCAATAACAGAGCCACAATGTTATGTCATCTGCCAACTTTTGCTTTTACTTTCAGGCTGCTCTCTCTCCCTGCCTCTGCCTCTGCCTCTGCCTCTGTCTCTATCTCATTCATTTGGGTTTTGGTTTTTTAATTTATGTTTTTCTTTTATGATCCATTTGCTTCTAACAATTGTCCAAAGTGATCACCAATCACCGATCACTCCACACACGCGAATCACTTCAACGTGACTGGACATATTCATTTTGCTGGTAAATTTTGGTCTTTGCATACGGATATTTTTGTTTTTGTTTTTGTTTTTGTTTTGTTTTGTTTTTGTTTTTTTTATGATTGCTCGTTGGTTATTGCACAAAAATTTGCAACAACAACCAAAGAAAATCATTAAAAAAAACAACGCAAATGTGGCATTGAGTGCATGCATCGACATGGACATGTCGTAATTAAAAAACAATACAAAAACCCCACAAAAAGAAACAGAAACTGTAATAAACAGCGCTGATAGACTTTAAGGGATTTCGAGAAGGAGATTTGGCAACTGTTTTGGAGTTGAAAGCAATCGGCAAGTGCTGATTCGACCGGGCAAAGCGCCCCGACCACGGTGCGTATGAGTAATGGGTTGCATCTATGAGACTTGACTTCAGTTCAACGTGATCTGCTGAGTGATCTTTGCTTAACTATGTGTACACTGAATGTTCTGTTCTCTTTTTCCCACTCCCCACTCCCCACTCCCACTACCATTTGGTATCCTCTTCCCGCCACCGATTTTGCCCTCGACACTCGACAACACGAAACACACACAAAACACGAGCCCCGCCGAAACGCAACTTGCAATCAGTGTTGGCAATCAAAAACGTTTTCTGTTTTCTGTTAACCAACTCGCATTAATTGGGTAATCGAGACCAGGCCGGAATGAGTGCAGCAAATGAGAAATGAGACAAAAACCGAAAATAGTCCAGCACACGCGTCATTTTTGGGTTTTTCTTTGGGTTTCTTCTTCTTTCTTTTTTATGTTGGTTTGGCGTTTTTTCACAAACAGAAATTTCTTGTTAAAGTGTAAGGCACAGCAAAAAAAATATGCAAAAAAAAAATGTAATAGGTAATGGAAATTCAAATGAAATTTTTGGTTAAACTTTTTCATAGTTTCTTTTATGGAATTTCTGGCTTGGCCAGCAGTTTTTGTTGTGTTTGATGTTGGGTTCATTATTTTCGATTGAGTTCGTTATTGGTTTGAGTTTTGGCTTTAATTTTGGTTTATTTTCGATGGTTTATTTTGGGTGGTGGGGGGGGTGGGTGTGGGGGGTGGTATCCTCACTAACCGAACCGATCCGATCCGATCGGCACACGACGGAGATACATACACGTTGATCAACTGCCTGCGGGCTGGGCTGCGCTGGCCTGGGCTTCCAAAACAGCAAATAAACACGAAAAAAAAAATGGGTGGCAACAGTTGCGTGGATCCGCTGGATGCAACAAACAAAAAGTGTCTTGTGGCTTATCGAGAGTGCTGCCTGCGTTGCCTGTGGTGTGCGGTGCGGTGCGTTGCCTTTGCCTGTGCCTGCGCTGCTCTATGTGGTCTGGGCTGTTGGGCCTGCAATTGATTACTAACGTTATTTTATCACACACAAGCGACTAAAGCTCGAGACAAAGCGCGCTGGCCGGAGCAGAGAGCAGAGCAGAGCAGAGCAGAGCAGCGCCGTGTCAGCCGCTTAACGCCTCGGCGACGGCGACGGCGTCGGCATCGGCGTCGAGCCGAGTGTCTCGGGCCGCGTCTCTGCAGCTGACTCAAAAGCCTGGCCAAAATGAAAACGAAAGTGAGCCAAAAGCCAAGCTTCAAGCTGAGTCGCTCTGCCTCTGAGCTTGACCAGACTTTTGAGTGGTTTTCGGGCTTCGTTTTTGATACTTTTTTTCCCCCCCTTTTGTTTTGTTTTTTTTTTTTCGGCTTTGGTTTTCGTTTTCGTTTTGTTTTTGGCCAACACGATTACGCGAAAAGTTTCCGCCTCGTGACTGCCAGCTTCACTTTGTCAGGCAGTCTGTCCATCCCATCCCATCCCATCCCGTCCCGTCCCATTCCATCCCATTCCGCCTGCCCGTCTATCAGCTGTTGGGAGTTTGTAAGTTTGACAGTTTGCCAGTGGGCCGTGTCCAGGATTAGAGCTTCCCCCCCCCCGACGACTTGTTTTGTGCTGCGGCTTACACAATCTCCTGCAGCTGCGCATCTGCGCACTTTGCATAAACTTGAAGATCGTTTCGCTTCGTTTTTGTCTTCCCGAAAAACCTTTTTCCTTCACCTGCTCGATAATAATCGTATAATCGTTTAATCGTTTAATCGTTTAATCGTTAGTGTGTCGTGGAATTTATCGATCGCAATTTGCACAATCAATAGTGCGCAATCACCTCAGCATCGACTCTCGACTGTTGACTGTCTCTTGGGCAATTCCATTCAATTTTGATTGGATTGGAAGTTTTCTGCGAATTTGAAAATCGTTTCCCCAATTCCGCATTCCGAAAACTGCCAAAAAATATATTTAATTGCACTGGATTTGCATTCGTGTTTCTAGTTAATGGATCATACGTTCATAAAGGATGGTGAGAAGGAGTCTAAAGAGTCCAATTAACCCTACTTTGGCTCCTAATATGAGGCTGAGTAAGTAAATTTATAGGACACTTTGGAGCCCTCCCATCCCATGCCCAGACAAGTCTAATTAGCAATTTGGCGCCCATTCTATGTGTGTGCTGTACCAACCGAACCTTTGTGGCTCTTTGGCTTACTTATGTAACTGGTCTGAAAGCCAAATACAAAGCTTTCTGCAGCGTCATGTTGGCCATGCACTTTGCCCAACGACTCGATGATAATCGGCAGAAAACCTTCGGATAGTCGAGCAGCAAGGCAAACCAAATCAAATCAAATCAAACCAAGCACACAGATCCAACGATCACCACCAGTCAACCAACCACAAGACAATGTCGCCCGACGACATGGCTGTCCCTGTGGCTCTGTGACTCTGTGGCCAGCGACAGTTATAATTTGTTCTTGAACACCGATTCAGCGATCGATCACGATGATCACGCACCACCATTACGATGAGCAGCAGTGATAATAAAGATGTTTTAGGTATGTATGTATGTATGCGTGTGTGTAGCCGCAGGCTGACCTTCAGAACACATCTTGAGCGATATTTCTTGAGATGGGCTTTCAATGCCTGAATGAATGGATGAATGGAGAGTGAATTAAGATGTGGTCTGAGAAGGGCTTACAGCGGAGGCTGACTAAGAAGGCTTCCACAGTGATTTTCGAGCTGATCTTATCGTACATATTCAACGAATCTCTTTGCAACGAATCCCCACTGTATCTGTCTGTATTGGGGTTCTTGTAGCCGGAAGCTTTCAATGAACATAATTCGATTCGATTCGATTCGATTGCTGTCTGAAGTACGAGTATCTGTCGCTCTCTTTGTGGCTCGATTCCGATTGGATCCCTTCCGAAAACCAGACCAGTCGCCGTCTCCGATTTACCTTCGGCAACAAGTTGTGAAGGATAACCAGTGCTGTGCTGGGCTGTTGCCTGTTACTGCCGCTGCTGCTCAAGATCTGCAATGGGTGAACGACACAGTACGAGTACGAGTACGAGTATGAGTACGAGTACGAGTACTCGCTCCATTTAGAAGTGCAAGTGTTCGCGCAGACATGCATGGTGAACTACAAATTACGCATACGCCGCATTGTACAGGCCTGGCTGGCAACCAGCAAGCAGCAACCAGCAACAGCCATACAGATAAAGTATCTCTCTGCTCCGCAGTGTGCTTTATTTTTTTGTTTGGTTTTTGCTGGATTGCAAAAGCGAAGGCAGGCGAGCACAAAAAACTAAATCCAAAATCAGTCAGTCAGTCAGTCAGTCAGTCAGTCAGTCAGGCAGGCAGTTGGCTATTCAGTTAGTCAGAGACTTGAGAGACTCAGAGACTAAAAGTTGCATGCGTTCGAAATCAGTTTAAGGTGAATTAGATTTTGACACACACACAAATGTACATCATTTTGCATATATGTATGTATGTATGTGTTTGTGTGTGTGTGTGAGTATATGCAAAAAATTCACATAAGAGTCAAAATTATGAAATTAGTTTCAGACGGGTCTGGGGTCTGCTCGTTGTTCGTTGTTGGTTTTTTTTTTTCATTTTTCTTTTTTTGCAAAAGCTGCCAAATCGAAAATGACAACGAAATTAGCTTTAATGGCCGGACCTGTGCCTCTCTGGCGCCAAATCTTTGCCTCTGCCTCCATTTGTTGTCTCTTGCCATTGCCACGCCCACTTGTCAGGTTGTACTCCTCGAACTCAGAGAGCCCCAGCCAGCGCAAAGCGAACTTTGTCAGTGTGGGGCGACCTTTAAATTCGGGACACTGCAAAACAGTTGCCAGCCATCGATGGGAGGAGCAGCTGTCACCAGAGGGGTGTCTGCAGCATTGCGAAAGGTTTAACGAGGAACGGCAGCCCTTGTAACCTGTTATTACTTATTACTTTCTGCTGTAGCTTCTGTTCTGCTTAATCTTCAATTTAATATATTTTTCAATATATATATTTCAATCCGCTTGCCAATTGCCCCGCTATATCTATCGCTCTTCTGCCATCTTTGTGCATCTACGCGTATAAATTGTATCCAATTTTATGGCCGGGGACAACAATTAATGCTCATTCCGGTCCAAGATCCAATGGCTGCACTCAAATTGTACCTAATTGCTGGAGACACCGAATTCAGCAACAGAATACAGTGTCCCGCGTTCCTGTCCCTGCCATTGAACGGCAATTCATGGCGCATCAATTAATTGTGGCTCTTGTACCTTCGAGGTTGACAACATTTTAAATTGTCCAAGTCTCGGTTCAGTTCAGTTCAGTTCAGTTCGGTTCGGATGAGTCTGCAACTGAAGCTGAGGCACAGCTCGTGCTCGTGCTTGTGCTTGTGCTTGTGCTCTGGCTGACAGTTCACTTTGCCATGTGCCCAATGGTGCAATTAAATGAAAAGACATTGCCGGTGCTGTAGCTGTTGTAGCTGGAGCATCGTAGCCGGTGTTGGATTCGGTGTCGATGTCAGAGTTGATGTCGATGCCATTGTTGTCGGTGTCTCTGTTCAATGTTTGTTGCTGTTCAAGTTTTAATGACAGGCCATAGACAATAACAAGGTTGTGCGGAGCTCTGAGCTTTGAGCCCAAGCCGATGTCGATGTCGATCTCTGAGACTGAGGCAGCATCATCTTTTTTTGTTGGGTTGTTGGTGTTGTTTGTTGTTTCTGTTCCTCAGATTCCTCTGATTTAATTGCCACCGTTTTTGGGCCATTACATGGCTACATGGCATGGGTACTTGTGGGTAAGTAGCATCGCATCGCATCACATCGCTTCGCATCGCTCAGTGTCTGCTCCGTAATGTTTCATTGCTGAGACCCTGCCCCAGAACGACTGGACCGGGGGACTTTCGGGGGGCAATGAATGAATGAATGTGATCTATTATGTGGCGCGGACTTTCAACTGATTTTGAGTCATACCAATCGAATCGCGAACTGTGACTCCGAGCACGACCCAGTACTAGCCACGGGGAGGTGGTCTGTCCAAATAATACGGCTACGCGTTGTGTACGAGTACGAGCAGCACTTGTCATTGCATAAATTAGCCCATAACTAACTCTCACAGTCTGTCTCCGGCTCAGCCCCTGTCGGTGACTAATTGCAAACAATTACAGATGATAAGTGTACAATATTGTACGTTTGCTATAAGACCTGGGCCTACTGCAGACAAATCGCTTCTAATGCCAGCGGACAACTTGATTTGCCTCTCGCCTCTGTCCCTCTACCACTCTGACTCTCTGCCTCTCTATGTCGCTCTGTGAAAAGGAAACTGTCAACCGAAAAAGACACAGACCCGTTCTAGCATGCAAAGCTGAATACAGGATGCTCTACATAACAATGTTTAAGCCTCACTTAATTAGCCTTTAAAGTTTAAGCCTACAGAGCCATTGGTGTACACTGCACGGAGATACATACATATATCCACGAGTATGTTCCATAAAATGTGTCCCCCGTCGGGTCATTCATTGCTTTAATGCTCATCTGCTGGGCGGAGGGTTTTCAGGCAGCCAATGAGCTCGTAAACTTTCGCATTATCCACTCGAAACACTTTTGCCACGACAGCCAGCAAAAAATCATAATGCATTTAAGCCAAGCTAACATGTTAACAACTCTGCGGCTGTGGCTGTGGCTGTGGCTGTAGCGGCTTTTGGTTTGGCCGTCATTTTCAGTGGATTGGCAAACCGAACGTGGTGGCCCAGCAAATGCAAAAAAAAAAACTTAAAAACTTAACAACAAAAAAATTAAAAAGTTCCAGCGGGTTTTTGGGTGTGAAATAGTGCCAAAGGAAAGGCACAGACACATAGCCCGTATGATTTATCAGTTTCAGCTATGCGACTATTTCTTGGATGCTTTTTGTGTGTTTGTTCCATGCTGTCCAACATTACGTGATATCTATCGATCAGGTCGTTTGATGCCTCGTTTTGCAACTGCTTTCGATTGTCTTTTGATAGTTGGAGACTGTGCTCCGTGGTCATTTAGTGGCACCTTCAAAGGAATA